CTAACAGCCTGCTATTTTGGCTGAACCAGGGACGCTCAGCCAGACGTGCGCCGGCTATTGTGCGTAAATCAATCGCGATCGCGGCAGCGCAGCGGCTTCCGCATACTGCTCAACCAAACGCGAACGCACATGCTCTCGTTAGGTGGTCGGCGCTATGGAGACGCAGCCGTCGGGCTACCGTTGGCTTGTTCCCGTCTCCTGCCTAGACGGTGCTGGAGCGAGCCTAATCCTGCGCTTACACTCGAACGGAAAACTTCGCGACGAATAACCGTCAACTACCCAACGCCATGGCTGTCCCCCGAACAACAAGACTGAGCTTCACACAGCCCTATCTCCCGCCATGCGACAAGGTCAAAACCGCTGGTTTCACCGTGCTGCACACATCTCATGGCCGCCGATCGCTTGGGCTCAGGAACAAGGAAGCCCTGTTCAAGAAAAGAAAACCTGAGATACGCGAAGGCCATATCGGGAATAGCTCCGATCTGATCGCATCTCCCTCGCAAACTCGGAGCCCTGAAGCGCCCTGAGGGCTTCGTTGGCCGCGTCCAGGACGTGCGCGCCGATCTCTCGATACAAACATGTCGCCGACTCGCTGGTCCACGACTTATCCCTCTGCTGACATCTCCTTACTACGGCTTTTGTACCAGCGGGAAGCCATGCGCCAGAGGAAGGGACGGTGCTCTGTCAATACCACGGCCAGTGCAGCTCCATCGTTGTCCAGAGGCCGATGCCACTATTGGCAACATGGGAAATTGACCCTTGTTGTTTGTGTTTCGAGTATTTGTCACTATGGCATTGTCCTAAGCTCCGGCCGTCCGCCGACGTCACACGGCATTGGTTCTTCCTTCTATCGCTCCTGCCCCGCCGCAAGTGCCCACTGCCAGATCGCCGGGGCCTCTAGTGCCGGCCTGTCAAAGTATCAGCCAGTCAAAGCCCGATGATCCCTGCGTCCTTGCTAGGCTTCAGATTCAGATCTGAGATGAAATATCTCCGTCTGCCGTGCATCCACACGGCTTTCCGTGCAACAAGGGAGCCAACAGGCAGGCCGAAAAGCGTACAGCGGCCACATTCAGGTGCATGAGGTCTGCATCCCTTCCAGCTGAGCTCCGCGCGCTCTGAGCCCAATGGTGTTTGAGATCATTGGAATTCACGTCGTGTACTGCAGGGCTGTGGGTTGACCATGGTAATGGTACCCCGCTACGTGTGCTCACATCACACGGTTGACCAACTCCTTTTCTGACCAGTCCAGGTGCACCTTATCCTTTGAGGAGCGACCCAATACTTTGAGATCGCTGTGAAGTGTGCCGGGCTCCACATTGCTACACCTACTAGTACAACGCTGCGCGTCAAACTCAGGTCACAGTGACGTTGCGTACATTTCCGCTCTATGCCTACCCATAACTACATGGATAGGAATCCTGAGTGGGTGCACACGGCTTGAGATCAGCGCGTACCTAGCTGCATGATCTTGCATCCGAGCCGGCTACGGTATCCTTTGCGTTATCCTGAACACGCTTCGTCCCACAGCGGCGCTGTGTTCCCGCAAGTCAGTAGCTGACTGACTACTCAAACTTCCGCAGCCTCTTCAACTATCCTGCATACCTTCCATTGACATCATTGGGCAAGGCGAGTTGAACCGAACATGGTGTTCGATGTCCCACCCCACTCCAATGCGGCAAGTGGAGCGCATACGTCGTCCGACAGCCCCATGTCAGATTGCCCTTCAATCTCCTTGCCTGTTTGCCGTTTGGCAGCTCTATCGTCATTCACCAAGTCTACATGAAACGCAGACGCCACCGCATGTACCAAGGTGGCCCCAAGACTGAGTACTTCTAGTTCCAGAATGTTCAACTTCATTCTACAGAGAAGCAATTCGAGTGTTTCGCATGCGCGCTGTAGCCGTGGCGCGCACGCCAATCTGCTCCGGCTCACAATGCTGCCTGGTGTTATGAACCAGGCAATCTTTCCATCCTTAATTTGGAAGGTCTGAGCGATTCAACCCCAGGAGTACAAATATGACCACCAAATTACACAACACCTGGGTATGGAGCTTCTGTATGACGCCCCGCGGGCCCTAATGCACGGTCGCCGGTTGAACTCGCTTGCATGCATGTCTCGGCGATACTCCGCCAGACCAATCAGATATCCTCATTCCCAAACCCCCTCCTCAAAGCGCGGGTTCCTTCTTGTCCGTAGCCTACACGGTGCTGGGATTCTAGTTGAGGTCAAGTTGACGCGGGTGCGCTCGATCTGCCGCATTAGCTTGCCATGTATACGGTGGGCTGGCGTATAGCAAGCCTCTTCGAAACAACTGGCTGATAGCACATCGGAGAGAACTGTCTCGAGATCTTCGGTTCAAAATCAGAAAATGCGCAATAGATCCATCCAGGCCCATCACATCCGCATTTCATACCGATACCAACGACCGTTCTCATGCGAGCGCCTGAACCGTCGTTCAAGCGCGGGTTCGCAACGTCGCGAGATATTCTCTGGCGTGGAGCTCGCGATCAATTTCATGTTAAGATCGGCAGCACAGCCCCAATTTCGGGGTTAAGCATGCTGCATCTCCATTTCATCAGCAGCTGCCTCTGGGCCTTCTAGAATGCGTTCGCTTGCACGAGCGGTCTGCACTGCGCTGTGCGTTATGTGAGCAGTGGCTAGCTAAAGGCAGATGCGGTGAGGAGTGTTCAACGTCGCACACCCACTTTATCTCGATCCATGTTTTGTGTGGCTCGGAATGTGGTGTTCTTTAATAGACCATTTCAAACCGTTCCAAGGTTGTTTTCTGTCGCAATACTCTCGTCCCGCACATTGCCGCTGTCTGCAATGCTATCCCTTCTGGCAGCAATGCAAGGGTACCATATGCAGGTGGGCAGACTGCTCCAGGCGTGCGCATAATTTGGGTAAATAGCGTCAGGCCAAAAAGGGTCCAGCGGAACGTTGCTTCTTACCTCCTCTGAGCAGCACCGCATACATAGGCGAGTGTAAACATCTGGGCCTTACAGCTCACTACACGCTACGACACCGCCCGTCCAAGCTACTAATCTCGCTTCCTACGAAGCCAATGACCATTGCGAATATTCTCACAGCACAGCATAAGCAAGTAAGCAGCAGCGTATGCACCTCGTATCGGGCCGCGCAGTAAGCTCGGATTCCGACGTCCGACGTAACAGCAACAACGTGGCGACAGTTTGCCGTCTGGCGTTCTACTCCTACGCCCGCAGGATAGGATGCAGGATGGAAAAGACGGCACGCATCTGGATTTCACGAGAAGCTGGGTAATGCCCGAACAGGGCTACACGAGGTGCAGCCACGTTTAGCGTTGGCCCATCATATCGAAGCGGAGGAAACTTACTGTGTAGGCACTGCTAGCATCGGCCGTCTTCCGTAGAGATCCAGTCGAACCACGGCTCTGTACGTTTGCGACTGCATTGAGTTTCCAGGAACATCCAATAGGCAGAAAACATCGGCCATTTCTCCGCTCATGGGAATGTAATCCAGCATACAGCACAGCGATAAAGTTGCAGCAGCCTCGCGACAATAACTGCCACTCGGAGGTTACTCTTGCGCGACAAGTGGCGACGGAGTACGGATCCCCACGCGTCTTTGTCCAACGTGGCCAGCTAGCTGGATTCTTCTCCCGTTTACAGCAAAATCATCTTCCAAAGAGCACTCGACCAAATGTCTTGATGCCCGGATGTGGATGGAAGGATGAAAACTAGGTTGATCGTAATGGAGCTTAGTCCATTCTATTCCGCAACAATCGTGTCCCAGACGTTACAAGACAGTCAAGTTCGAACGAACCTTGACTTCCTTACCACAGTCACAAACTCTTGCGCGCAACGTAAGATCGGAAAAGTAGGAACTCACATTGGGCTTGCCCTCTTTTATTCTTGATGCTTGCATTGCTTTCGAACGTCGCCGCTTGTTTCCACTGTCGCCCATTTTGTCTTCCAATCATCATTTCTCTCCTCTTTGCAATGGTTTTGTTGTCAGGAAGTCACGCGCGTTACCTATGGCATCAGACAACATCGCAGGTGAAGGCATTCGATCATTGATCGAGTATCATACCCAAGCGCAGCGCACACCATCAGCAGCGTTCATGTCGAGTCGAAAGTCAGCTTTCAATGTGATATTCGGGGTCGCTGCCAATCCGCATCCAGACTTGTCAGAAATCACGCAAGGCGAAGTTAGGAAGTTGACAGGGATGTGCTTTCCAGATTGTCGAGTTCACATCATTCAGCATACGGATGATCTATTTAACTGATTGGATCGAAGTTTACGTCTGCAAACCTCTGCTCGTTCTCTGTTTCCTGTATGTCTCCCTTTAATATACCCTTTGAAGAGATATCGTTAGTACGTTACACCTAAGTATCGTTCTTGACCCCGCGCATACTTTCAATTCCCAATGTGCGCGAATTGTTCCTCCCTTTGCGATGCGAGCCACAACAAATGTCGTCCGGGTTGCCAATCGCAACCTCTGCTGGGTCGTCGATGCCGTCCCAAAGGAGAAAGAGCAAACACACCCCATCCTGCAACCTCATTGTCGGCCACCTGCCTACGTCACCATCCTGTGCTTGTCTATAGTCACATTTCTAGCATCTTTCCATCGTACATGATCAAAATCGCTGAGAAGGCTAGTCGCATCTGCGCCACGGCACGCATGGTCTGTATGGGCGAGGTGGTGCCACGAAGGTGCCTTCCTGGGCACGCGCAGAGCACAACAACGACGCACGCTCTCGCCCCACAATCGCGCCTTCACCTTCACTTTCGCTCCTGCCAATCCGTCCTCTGCTCGTCGCCTGCCGCCGGAGCTAATTTCCGCCGTGACTGCAAACGCTGCTCGCACGTCATATAAACAACTTTCCTGTGTCCACCTCTGTGTCTTCTGCTTCTCTCACGACACTCACCCCAAAGCTCCATCATCTCTGCAGCTGCATCAATCCAACACGAACATACTTCAATTCATCCCCACCACCAATCAGATTACCGCTATCAACATGTTCGGCTACAAGATCTTCGCTGTTGTCGCTGCGCTTGCGCTGGCTGTCGTCGCCACTGACCGTGAGTACATGCTTCAGGTTTAGCTGCAAAGCTGCTTGGATACCTCTACATGGCATCGGGCACACAATCTAACATCTTGCAGCTGTCTGCGCTCCCGCCGCTACCGTGACTGTCACTATCACCCAGTGCGTCCCCGAGCCCGGCAAGCCGTCGTCTGAGCCAGTCCCCGCTCTGTCAGATGTCTCCTCTACCCCCGCTATGTCGGCTGTCTCCTCGACTCCCGCTTTGTCGGCTGTATCCTCTACTCAGGACGGCGGAGCGCCTGTACCTACCACTACTAGCGTTATCCTGCCTCCCCCAGGACGACCAGTTCCCACCACCAATGTCCCCGATGACGAGCCTTCCAGTGCTACTACTACGGCTGTCGTGTCTCCCTCATCCTCAGGTCGCCCTGGTGAGCCCACAACCACTGCCGTCGAAACTGCTGGCGCCGCTCTCGCAACGCCTGTCGTCGGTATGGGCTCGCTCGTCGCCATGGGTGCTGCAGCCCTGGCTATCATGGCCTAGGCCCGTTCACACAAGGTCAACGTGCTATATTGAGCAGGGGTATCGCGCTACACGTCGCGTTCTCAGTCGAAGCCGTTAGTGCAAGGCTTGGTATCCATGGGGCTCTCTCTTATTGTCTTGATCATTCTCTCAAGACCCAGATACCCCCATTCATGATTTGGTATTAATGTATTGGCGGCTTATCATCGACATGGGGTGTCATCCTTCGTCGAAAAGCTGCCCCATGGTATTGCATGTTCATAGCCTTCCACGAGTCTAATAAAAATACTGACATCGTCATTACTCTTGCTTCCGTACCATGCTTGCTTTGATGACTGTGCCTTGTGAAGTGGCTCTCACACCGCGCTTGGCTTCCACTCCTCGAGCTACCACGGATGACTGAGTTGGTACCTTGTTGCTCGAGCGTCAATGAAGCCCTGTTTGCCTATCAGAGTGCCCCTTGTTGTTGATTTCAGGCACAGAGAAGGGCAGTGATGAATATCCTACCGAGGACGGATCGTCAATGCTGGCTAGAATGAAGGCATGATGAGACCAGGTACGGTTCTGATGGAGTGCACATGATTGTCAGCAGAAAGACATATCAAGGGCGGGGAGAGCGAAAACAGTGAACAAGCATAAATATGGGCTGCGATATCTTCTAATGATAGTAAGAATCCCCCAATTAGAGAATGCATCATGCTAATATATATCGCTCGTTCCTCCCACTGGATGACCACTCAAACGAAGTACTATCCCGTATGTTTATACTTCGTCCTCAACTCGTCGATCTCGCGTTGGAACTTTTCCATATCGTCGAGGATGTTACTTGAGTCGCTCCTTCCCTCGCCCTCCTTCCCACCAGCCATGTTTTCATCGAGACCTAGCTTCTTCTCGCTCTCTTCCATTGGCGAGTATAAAGCATATTCGTTCCCACCTTTCTCGTCTGCAGGCGCGTACTCCCTTCTCAATGAGCTCTCGCTGGCTACGCTCGTCCGTCTGTGCTCTGTACTTGTACGGCGGTATTCTGTGCTCGTCCGTCGGCTTTCTGTGGGAGACGAAGAGGAAACTTGAGGCCTTTGCTGATCAAGGCTGGAGCGATTCGATCGACGTCTTGGTGGAGGCGGAGGTGGCGGCATATTGCTTCCTATGCTCTCTCCAGATACGTTTCGCTGGGTATTGCGATTGGACGATATAGATGAGGCGCGGTGCACACTCGGCGCTGGCGACGAAGGTTGGGACTCTAAAGTGCTCCGGCGGGATGAAGGGGGTTCTGGCACAGATCTCGGCGTTTGACCCGAACTTGAACGTTGTGGCAGTTCGGTGCTGGAAGAGTTCGCGCTTGAGTTGCCTAGGTTCGCGAGTCGTGCGCCGTGTCGTGAAGGTGGAGGACGTGGTGGTGACTTTGCTCCAAAGGGGTCGACGTTACTTGGAACTGGGCTTTGTATGGGGTCAACCGAGTGCTGAGATGACATCGTAAGGTTTGAACTGCTCCGCGATCTGTTGCCTGTTGTCGTCGTCGTTTTGAGCTGACTCTGCCTACGGGCCAATGGCACGGGCGGAGGTGCTTTCTTTTGTCTAATTGTACCTTCTGAAGGCGGTGAAGGATGATCTTGTGCTGGTGGGGTTGGTTGGGATTGTAGCGAGGTGGTATCTTGCGTGCTGATATGGGATGACTGCGGCGCAGCAACGGGAGTTGGAGGGAGCGGCTTGTTTGTATCCGAACTGTCTGTTCGTCTAATAGGCGGCGGTGGTGTTGGCTCTGTCGCTGCAAAGCTCTCGAAGGACACTGTCTGTGGCTGTCTCTGCGTAACGAGCTTTCCGTGTCGATGCTTGGGGGCAGGCGGGGGCTTCTTCTTGCCCTTCTTCACCTCGGAGACTAGCCCCATGCTCTCGTCCTCATCCGAGTCGGCCATATCGACCGATGTACGTGGTGAATCAGCGTGGGATTCTTGTATGGGCTCGAATAGCGATTGCCGTGAGACCGAGGACGTGTCGGTGCTACTACTGGTCTCGAATTGCGCGCCTGCGACCGGTTGTGATGCGCTCGTAGACTGCTGCGGCGGACCGGATGGTCGCGGAGTAGCCTTTCCGGTCAGGAGTAGATTCTTAAAGCTCTCTACATCCAAGGAAGCTCTACTGTTGCCTAGCATCGGTCTTCCCGTGTTCGTCCGCTCCTCCTCACTCTCCTTGTCTTGGGGTTCTAACGAGGCCAGTGTTCTCGAGAATGGATTCGCTGGTACGTTACCCGGCGATTGCATCGCCAGCGACTCGCCGAAGGTTGATCTCGGGTTTGGGGACGCGTCCGCTATTGCCATGGCGTCTTTCCCGACAACTTGGGCATTGGCTTCACCCGCGGTGACAGAGTTGTTGACAAAGCCGGCGGGTGTTACGGGAGGCGGTGGGCTCGCAGGCCGACCTTGGCTCGATCGCCGGGCCATGAGCTCGTTCAAGGTCGCATCTGAGTCGTCAAAGATGGGCGGTGGAATCGTAGTAGTGGGCGAGAGAATGCGGACAGACTTCTTGGTCTTGCCAGTCGACGGCGGGGCGGCATCTTCGAGCACTGTAAGACAATTACTCCTTGAATGCCAGCAGACGCAGAAAGGCAAGGCGAGGGAATACCATGGTCGCTGTCCTCCCTGCGCGCTCCAAGCACACTGCTATCCGTGTTGATGAAGGAAGTCTGCGGGACGGGCGCGGGCTGACGGGGAGCTTGAGAAAGGCGGAAGGGGTTTCCGGACGACATGGTGGGTGCTAAAAACAATGCATTATTCTATGTACATGGAAGGGGCGCGAGAGAAGCGGTGAGATGGTGCCGCGCAAGAAATGCTGTTGCTGATAGTCGGCTCTGCGACGTGATCATCGCCGATATGCAGGTGCTGGCGATCCGGCGCGGGACAGCGAACAGCCCCCACCATCGTACCTCGTACACCATGACGGCCCAATGAACCTCTGCTATCCACAAGGCACAATTTCGCCAACGAATTCTGTGGCCCTGTGTGTTCTAGAGCTCCCGTTTCAATATTCGCTGTCTGCTACAGGATTTCAACACTTCCTTACACTGTTTAGTAAACGCGTGGGCATCTTGCAGCGGCCTACCGCGGCTATCTATGTAAGGGTCTATCTCCACGGTACGCTAATCGACATACACATGCCACCCTGCCTGGCAGTCAAACCACTTGCGCGCCAAGTTCCCTCCACTCTCTGTCGGTTGGCTGAAAGCAACTCGAGCTTTCTCAATGTGCAGCCCATAGATGAAGTCGGATCGTGCGATATCCAGCAGCCTAGTCGCGATGCCTTTCTTTCTATGTTGATTCGACGTCCATATCCGTGATATGCCCAAGGCCACCGGATCTGAAACGGTGCTGATAGAGATAGAAGAGCTATGGGGCGCGACAGCATCTCCGTGCTCCTTGTCGGGCGAACCGGTGGGGTCCAACACCTTATAGGCTTCCCAGATTCGCTCTGCCAAACATGCTCCTACACACTCATTCCCTCGAATGTATAGATATATCTTGAATCGATCAACGAGTGCCACGTTGGCTGGGTTCTTCGCCGACGGCCGTGGTTTCGGTACAGGCGTAGTCCGTTCTGTTTCGTCTGCCTGGGCTGTCCGACTCGTCTGTCCCCAAAGCTCGTCGTCTGATATGGGAACAGCAGCAAGCTCTGTGTTCACAACCTTCAAAACATCACTCGCCCGGTTGCGCATCGCCAATGTATCCTTGCGTCCAACCACAGCGATGAAGCTCCCATCACCACTCCATATCTGGTTCTTCCTAAAGCGCTCCACGACTGGCTTGGTGAAGTCGACACCCCCAAGGTTCATCGCATGAAATTTCTTGTGTAGCACGGCGTCTTCGGCATTCGACGGTATGTACTGCATTCCACATATCTTGCATGTTTTGCGCGTCTCTGAAGCCAGGTCTAACTGCATCTGTACCATCTGCTTCTTTTTTGGTGTTGGCTTCGGTGGGCTTTGCGCATTGTGACTCCGTTCTGTAAGGGGTTCTTTGGCGGGCGTGCTCGGCTTGAGTTGCTTCTTGAATATCGAGAAGACTGGTCGCCGTTTTTGAACGGGTGGAGGGGAGCTGCGCGGTGCTGGCGACGATGGTGGACTAGACCGAGGCGGTTCGTCTGAGAAGACTGCGGGCGAGTCTTTGGGGCTGGACGGAGGGTCGGTGGAGCTTTCACGCTCGCATTCGAGAGATGAAATGACAATCGTAGGAGCATTATCCGACGGGATCAAGGTCGTCGTTTCGGTACTATCGATCGTGGTCTCGACGCGTCTTCGTTTGGTAGGCGGTTCTTCATCGTAGAGTTGGCGCTTCGTGTGTCGCGAATAGGTTCTGACAACCTTTCTGGACTATGTTAGACATGCGACATATCTTCAATTGGATCGGCTTACTTTGCTCCGAGGGACGACATTACGGCGCTGTTGGCAAGCGTCGTAGGAACTGGGAGTGCTGGACCGCCCACGCGACAGACGCGTTTTAGCGCGCTGCGCTAGTGCCCGCCCACATGCACGACGTCACGCCTCGTCCTCTCACATGTCACCTGGTCAGTCCCAAACATCGTGTTCAAGGATATACTTCACAGTCGTCAAGTCTTTGCGCGTCCTTTGAATACGGCGATACGCTTGCATCGTTCTGGGCTCATCAAATGAGCGAGTGTCGCTAGATCAGGCCACCGGTCGATATCCCAGCAGGGAAGGTGCGTTTGTTTCGTGCTGACTGGCCTTATCATGGTCACTAAAAAGGCATCTATGAGTCAACGGCCGTGAAGCAATCAAGCACTAAAAGTACACAAACATCGGACTCTCTCTACTGGCCCATCTCTGTTCTTTTCTTCCGTATTCGCACATCTCGTCGGTGTATCCATCTCCAAAATGGCGGAACAAACAACACCAGCACAGACGGGCACATCAGTTCCATCATCCATAGTGACTACCAAGCGTCTAATGATCCGTCCGATGTGTCTCGAAGATGCCCCTTCGACTTCCCTGCACGCCAACGACCCTCTCATCGCCAAGTATATGCGAGGAACTTTCCCAAGTCCATATACACAGTCTAACGCCGAGACATGGATCACCATGAACCTCGCACTACCATATCAACACCATTTCGTCATCTGTGAGAGATCAGCGCCAGAACTCGCAATAGGAGGCATCGGTTTGAAGCTAGGCTCGGACGTGTACGCACATGCAGCAGAAGTTGGTTTCTGGGTTGGAAAGACGCATTGGGGAAAAGGTTACATCACGGAGGCACTGGAAGCCTTCACAAGTTGGAGTTTTGAGAGTTACGAGAACAATGGTCAAAGACTGTCCAAACTGTACGCTGGGGTATTCTCTGGCAACAGGGCGAGCATGCGGTGCTTTGAAAAGAATGGGTACGTACTCGAAGGTGTACTGAGGGACAATGTTTACAAGAATGGTGAGATGAAGGATGAGCACATGTTCGGTATGAGAAAGGCAGACTGGGAAAGGAGATTGCGTGATGGTGTCAGCAAGTAGTGGAGTGAGGCTGGTTGCACCTGAGGTGGATCAGAGGTCTCTCAGATTTGGTAGTCTTTGGAAAGGTCTAGTTTTTGATTGAAAAGCTAAAGTGCGCTTGAGGTAACTCAAGGACCTGGTCGGGCTATGTATGCTTGAAGTTGCATAAGCAGTATTTCAACCGGCACATTGTGTCTTGCTCTCTTCATCACGACACATTTCTCACCAGCGTACTTGCTGCCTTTTATCAGTTCTTGCGCCTTGTCCTCTCCAAGTAGATCCGCCAAACTGTAGACCGCAACCTTTCTGCCTCGCCAAGTGGTGGTATGAAACTCGAGCTCCGGAAACATCAGGCGAGGTTGTAGACATGCGATGACAGGACCAGTATACCAGTGTGGCGAAGAGTGAGTGACTTCTGGGGTAGCATGTGGATCCAGCTTCGCCTCAAAGCTCTTAGTAAAGTAGGCTGACCACTTTTCTAGCTCAGCCATGTTCAGATCTGCCAGCTTTTGCATATCATCCCCACGATTATGAAGCGATCGGAATATGAGGACAGAAGAAACGTCTTCGACGCTCTCAAGGTCTTCAGTCCGGGGACTCGCGACTGGGATCAATCGACCTCTGAAACCAAAGTTCCAGCTGAGCTTACTCCCTACTGTCTTGCGCATTATGTCCAATATGAAGTCTGGCATGTCCTCCCTCCACACCATCTTCTTCAAGCCCAGCCCGCCAAACTTTTCGGCCATGCGTGAGTTTAGAGCCTTTTCCCAGGCTTTCTTCTTGCCCAGTTGTACGGTAACCCGACGAGTCCCAAGAAAACGGTGTGGGGGTCCGAGGTGCTTCTTGTCCGTCGTGAGAGAGACAGGCAGGAGCCACGGGTCTTTAGTCGTTGGATGCGGGCGTGCATGGAGAGAGGTCAGTAAAGCGCTGGGAAGGGAGATCATTGTTGCGCGACATTGGCGGACTGGCGATGCCAACGCATGGGCTGAAAAATTAGTTTTGCATTGCCATCAAGGGACAGCATTGTGCATACCGAATGGATTTTCCCATAGTTTCTTCTGGAAAGGTGTCAATGCAGCAAAGTTCGGTCGCTCTTTCGTCTGTTCATAGCGAGACCTTTCTTCTAAGGCTACCGGGTCGAGCAATGGCGAAAGTGGAAGTTCTTTGGCTGTCTCGTCTTTGCGGAGGCGGAACGTTTGGTGGGCATCTTCGCGCGTAGGACCAAGGTCACTGCCTTTCAAGAGATGACCGGGAATATGAGCGGAGGATTGGCGGCATTGAGCCCACGCCTGGAGTCTAGTGGGGCTCAAGCATGACGTCGGGCGACAGATCCATCTGCCTGGCATCAGGCGGGACAGGGAGCGACTGCGTGGTTCGTGCGGGTTGAGGGTGTTGCGCAGGAAGAGCCAAACGATCGCATCGGACCCCCGGCTTGGCGCGCCGGAGCTGGGTTCACGCGGGGAGGCAGGAGCTACCCCGACATCACCATCATGGCTTCTCTATTACGGCGGGCTACAAGGCCATCAACACTACAAAGCTTCGCCAGATATGGCACGCGGTCGTTATCAAGCCAATTCGGCTTCCAGCCGCAATGGAGTCCACAGCAGCAGGACCAACAGACACCGCGCGCCATCTCACTGCCGATACCCTACGTGACGGAGACTACTGTGAGTTCAGCAGCGTTACTATTCAAGAGCTAGCTGACTTTATAGGGTGGAGGCTGGAAAACTTCCGACATCTTCTCGCGTCTCCTACAAGAGCGCATCATCTGCCTGAACGGCGAGGTTGACGACTACATGTCCGCCAACGCTGTCGCCCAGCTCCTCTTCCTCGAAGCCGACAACCCCGAGAAACCCATATCCATGTACATCAACTCGCCTGGTGGCAGCGTGAGCGCCGGTCTTGCCATCTACGATACCATGAACTACATCCGCTGCCCGGTCAGCACAATATGCATGGGCATCGCAGCCTCCATGGGATCACTGCTGCTTGCAGGCGGAGCCGAGGGCCAGCGATACATATTACCACATGCGCGAGTCATGATACACCAGCCGAGCGGCGGATACCGTGGCAAGGCAAGCGATATCGCGGACCATGCCAAAGAGATTCTCAGGATACGGGACAAGCTGAACAAGATATACCAGTCGCACGTTACGAAGAAGAGGACATTGGAGGAGATTGAGAAGTACATGGAGCGCGACTACTTTATGGACGCTCAAGAGGCGGTGGACTTTGGTATCGTCGACAAAATACTGGAGAAGAGAGAGGCGCCGGCTAAGGAAGAGGAGAAGAAATAGGACCACCAAGTACCGAATAGTACAAGTAAGACCATGACCAGTTATCATCGGAGTGTGTCTGCTATCAATACTGCGCCTGTGTAGTAGCTTGATGCCATCTTTGGGGCCAAGGTTTGTGTGTCTTCTGCATATCACTTTTGCTTATTATAGATGACCAGAAATGGAATAGCTCTATCACACAATCGTCAAACACGTTTGCAGATGCTGCACTCGAAGTTTTATTACAATGGCATGTACATGCGCTGCAGTGGCTTCAAGTGGTTCAGATTGCTACGCCTCACCCCTGCCTAACCGCTACCAGGCACATTTCGGTCACGTTTCCAGGCTTTCCACACAACTCTGTTTTGTTTCTGCAACGAAGTCTTGTTTTCCAAATAAGCATTCGTGGTGTTGATACGCGCGCGCATTGTCGATACGTAACTGAGACGATCCTGATCCTGGCGAAGCGCTGTTCGTTTCCTATGATCCTTCAACAACAGCTTTTATAATGCTCGAGAAGATGCGATGCCAAAGTAAAGCAGACAGAAGCACACAGCAGCTTTTGTTCGGTCATCATGTCAGCATTCAGGTTTGAATTTAGTGAACCACCGACCCGATCCTCGTCACCGGCATCATCAGTGAGCACGCAGCTTGGTGACGCAGATGCCAAACCGATGGATATACGCGCTTGCGATAGTCAAATTCTAGCGTAAGTATGCAAGTCTTGAGATGACTCGCGTTGCTGACATACCACAGCTTTGACAGTCTGATACTGAAAGTTTGTGTGGGGACAGGCCAGGACGCAGCAACCTTTTTCGTCCATGAAACGCTATTCACCTCCAGATCCGAACTCTTCAAATGCGCCACTAGTCAGGAGTTTCGAGGAACTGAAGCGCATGTGGTGGCACTACCGGACGATGACCCGGATACCTTTCGCCTATACCTCAACCTGGTTTACACACATCAGCTAGTCACAAGAGGTACTGGCCAGTGGCTGAAGCTATGTCGACTATACGTCCTAGCGGAGAAACTACAAGACATTACATGCAAGAACCAAATCATCGACGGAATGTACGCATTCTTCAGTGAGATCGCCTGCCAACCCACCCTGAGCGTCAACATCTCGCGTATTCTTCCGGCTGCAGCAACGACAGAGCTATACGAAGGCACATCCAATCAAAGCCAGGCCCGGGAGCTTGTTCTCGACTTTTACGCAGACTCTGGTAACGCATCCTGGCTTCTCAGCGAGCAAGCGAAGTTACCGGCTGAGTTCATTTGCGATGTTGCTGTCCGCTTGTTGCAAAGACGTGGCTATGTCTTCTCTGGCTTCCGGATTCGTCGTCCATCTTACGGCTATCATGAAATCAACACATCCTCCCCAGGGATGGCCTGTGCTGTAACCAGGCAAGCGAAGGAAGTCTCGGCAGATGAGCAGAATGATACGGGCAGAGCTGTTACAGGAGACAAGAAGAAACCTTGTGAGAACACCCCAGAGCTCAATGGCGATGCGAAGGAACTGGAACTCGAGCTCTCTGACGTTGTAGTTGCGGAAGTGGCTGAACCGGCAACCGGCCATACACTCCCGCCACTCAAAGGAGTTGTGACAGAAGTGAGATGGGAGCTTGAAAGATGGTAGCGGAGATTCTGGGGCTTCAGGTTTCCATATTATCAGCGTTGATTTGTTTTTAGGGGGCAACAACGGGAATGGTAACTTCCCCAGAAACGAGTGTTGCTACGTCGGCTTGTACAGCCCCCGCAGCAGGGGTGGCTAGAACGTATCATCGCATTCTACAGAAATATTCAAGTAGAAGTATACATTGTGTTGCGTACTACCTACTTGCTCAGATATAATGGTGTGTATGCAGCAAACCTCGTAAATGCGACGGGGTATTTGTCCACCCCTTGCGACCGTCGTTGCTCAGTCACCAAGTAGGCGTTACGACTAATAGGAATAATGTTACGCATATATGTTACATTATATTTGAAAATGCTGTCGCTAATTCTAATGACTTTTATCAACGACATGGTGGGGTAGAGATGTTCATATCACACGCCTGTAAGGTAGCCTTATTCCTGTTCAAGCGCTTTGAACACACTCAGCCAAGCCACTCCAGCTGTCGGCGACCCAAGGCGCAAGTACGACTGCCCTCTGAGCATCTCCCACGTCGCCGGTACCACCCATCGCGCCTGACAACCCAACAGCACCAAGCGTACCATTCGGCGGTGCGTTGCGCATCGCAGTTTCCTTTGCAAGCGTGCTGGCGAACGCATCACCTTCAGCAGCGTCGGCGAGCTCTGTCCAACCAGTGTGTTTCCAGGGGGCAAGCATGACACTGCGACGAGCCTCATCCAACTCTTGCTCCTCACCACCTAGACTGACTGAGATGGCTTCGATAACCTTCTCCACGCGTGCCAACTGTTCGTCGCCGAGCTCCTTGTTCGTGCGCAGTCGGTCCAGATCGTCTTTGATGGCTTCCATGGTTTCCAAGTCATCGTCGAGTACTGTCATGGCGCCAATGAGGGTCAGCAAGCCAACATGGCCTTCGTGCTTCTCAATGGCGGTAAAGAGCTGGTCGCGAGCCACTTGCTTCTCGTTCTCTCCGCCCTTGGCCCAAAGTACTTCTGCGAGAATGCAGATGATGTCTGGGTTGGCCCCAGTTGCCTCGAGCGATGTTCGGAAATACGGTATCGCGGCGTCGAAGGAGCCACTAAAGTAGTGTGCTAGACCAGCTGTGAGACGAGCTGATAGCTTGGTCTTCGAGATTTGGTCACCGGATAATGCTGACTGTTTGGCATCGCTGTCCAATTCAGACAGCAGATCAAGTGCGGTCTCAGCTTCTTCCGCGGCCGAATGGTAGGATTCGGTAGCGAGGAGGTTGCGGGACAGATCCGTCTTGGCTTGTGCAACACGAGCTAGGGACGCCAGCGACTCTGACTTCTCATATTCTTGCTCTACTGTCTCGTTCACAGCTTGCATAGCTGCTACAGCAGCGTCATAGTTACCAATACGCTCCAAGAACAAGGCTGCTAGGTGCTTATGTGGGATGTCGTAAGGTACTTGTATGTTGAGCTGTTGGAGCGCGAACAGAGGTTGTATGAGGTTCGTGATGTTGCTGGATGACGAAGGCGAAGACACAAGGAAGTCGAAAGCCGAGACGGCGTACTGACGTTTAGTCAAAAGCAGTGACGACTCTGAAAGCTCGAATGCGTGAGTGAAGTGAGAGAGCGCCTCGTTGGAATCCCCGGTGAGCAATGCGACGATGCCTTCGCCGACCCATGCTAATGAGTAGTCGGGGTCTTGCGATTGCGCCCTTGAGAAGGCGGTGTGCGCAAGTTCGTGATCATTTTGTAACAAGTAAAGCGCTCCTAGGTTCGTCCAGGTGTGCACACTTCGTTCGTTGAGATGTAGGGAGCGAACAAAGGCGTGCTGAGCGACCTTGGGGCTCAGTGTAGTCGTAATAACACCAAGCGAGTTCCAGAACTCCGAGTTACCGGCTTCTAGTTCGATAGCACGCTTGAAACATTTCATGGCTGCTCGAAGGTATGTTGTGAGTTTCGACCCCTCAATGCCTTCCTGCTCTAAGCAGACATGTGCTCTGTACTCTGTCCAGCCTAGGTTGTACCACGCTACAGCCTGTGCGTGTATGTCATGTGCACAACTGGAAACTGCTCGTTTTTGTGCAAGTATTGAGGCTTTGAGCACCTTGGTGAGAGTATCGTCTTTATCTGCGGAAAGTGCAGCCAGCGTATGCTGTCCGAGCCCATCGATATCCTTGTGTTCATCAAAATCGATGTTCATATCCGACTTGCTACGCAGCACCTTCTCGATCAGCTCCACTGGAAACTGCTTGAGTTTATCTTGGACCCAGGTGAACAAACTGCAGGCATCGCCAACAGCTTTCCAGAGGTTGAAAGCATCCGGCTTGTACTCAGTGATCGACATCGCAACTTCGATACCGCGGGTCGCGCTATCGGCAGCCTCGCCGAAGAAACCGGTTTCAATGCAATGCCAGCCCTTCTCTACGAGAGTCTGCAGAAGTGCTATCGAGACACCAAACTCTTTCGGTCGAGACGCTAGTACAGCTTCGTAACCTGCAAGAGCTTCGTTGAACTCACTCAACTCGCGGTTGACGTTGGCGAGCATGTACTTGGTGAACCACCCCTCTTGGTCAGACCTCTTCAAAATAACGCCATCTGTCGGGTTTTCTGCATAGTTGAACGCGCGTGATGCTGAGTTATATCGACCAGAGTTGTGGTAGCTCTCTCCGAGACCGACGTAGGAGTAGTAGTCGTCTGGACTGATGCGTAGTGCAGATAAGAAGGACACAATACTCTTCTGATACTCTTGCTTGTTCATCTGGACGACACCGAGTGCAGAGAACGGCCAGCTGACGCCTTTTCGTTTCGATCCTGGTGTCTGACGGGCTTTTCCGGAGTCTACCACTCGCTGGGACACGACCTCGACAATGTCCCACTCGCCTTGATTGGCGAAAAGGCGAGCAAGGCGCTCAGCTGCGACGACCTCAGAGGGCGATAGCTCGAAGGCTTTTTGGAAGCACTGCCGTGCTCGTCTGCGGTCCTTATTGTAATCTTCGTAGAAGATGCCAAGCAGAGTGTATGCTGGCGCATAGTTCGGGTTTGCTTTGATCGCTGCGAGCAGCTTCGCATACGTTCCTTGGCGGTCCTTCCTCGCTTGCTTGGACGGATCGAGCTCCCATATACATACACCTATTCTATAAAGTGTCTGTGCGTGGAGCTCGCGGCCACGTTGCTTAGAGGCATCGAGCTGCGGGTAGTCGAGGTACTCCTGGAGCCTTTCCAAACCAGTCTTGTAGTCGCCGGCAAGTGCTTGACACCAAGCTGATTCTGCACCTATGCGACCATTTGAGGGATCTTGCTTTAGCGCCTTCTCAAGGAATTGGAAGGCTTGCTCATATTCCTCTTCTTCTTCTAGGACCAACCCGATGCCGATGAGAGCAGAGGTAAACTGTGGCTTGCGTTTCAAGATGGATTCGAAGATACCCTTGGCTTCCAGATGATTTCTTGGGGCCTGGTAATAAACTAAAGCAGTAGCAAGCGTACTACTCAAAGCGTCGCGAGTTCTCTGAAGTGATAAGTCGGTCTTCTTAGCCTCCGCAGCAGCATATTTCAAGCCTTTCCTTGTGCTCTCGACCGCGCTTTCGTACTCCTCCAAGGACAGGTAGTAGTCTCCGAGCAAGCAATGTGCAAGTGGCGATCTTCCCGCCTCGGTAATTCCTTCAGTCATCAACACCAGACAGTCCTCCTGTGAGACTGGAACATCTTGAGTAAGAGCTACCCCACCCTCGCTCAGGTCAGGTCCTTCTCTTGAGTCGCCTTCTTCTACAAGCGGGTATCTTGATATACCGCTGCTTAACCAGCCTGTGATGACTTTTGATAGTCCCTCGTTGGGGAACAGCTCGACGAATTGCCGCAATGTCGATATGTCGAGATCCAGCAGGTCGTGCGCACTGTCCGCGTGTGACGCCATGACAGCAATCCGAATTTTTGAACCCAGCCGATGCAATGCAAAACGCCGACAGATGCTGTAACGAGAGGAATCCGAAGTACCAGAGTTACTCGAACGGGTTTATTGTGAAGAGTAGCGGCAAGGAGATTGCAGAGTGGTTGACGTTGATGTTCGTGTTTTGGTAAGGCTGAAGCCCAGGATCGACGCTAGCATGCCGTGCGTCATTGCCTGCTCTTTCGACGCTGCGAGCCCCACACCAAAGCTCCAATTCACTCCTCATGGCACCTTCATAACACAAATAGCGCCGTACGGACGGCTACTCTCCAAACTATCGCTACCCAAATCAACGACATGTCTACGAAAACGGCGCTGAAGGCTGCGAAGGCGGCCATTGGCGCAAAGGATTGGGAGGAAGCGAAGAACCAAGCGACAGCAGTGCTGGAGAAGGAGCCCCAAAACTACTTCGCCTATCTGTTCCTCGGACGCGCCAACGACGGTCTGAGCAGATTCGACGAAGCGGCGAAAGCCTACTATGACGCGACCAAGCTCAAGCCTGAAGATCCACAGGCATGGCTCGGGCTAAGGGGCATGTACGAAGGTCTCAAGGGCGCCAAGGTTGATGAGAACATTGATGTCGGACTGGAACTAGCGCAGATATACATGAATTTGTATGTTTTGTCTATACAGGTGGAGAGGCAACAATGCTAACAAGAACAGGGACGACGCGCACAAGTCCCAATCTGCCATCGATAAGCTCGTAGATCACGCCCGTGCTCATGGCACCAAGACTCAATATGCACGCGCACTCAGTACCCAGCTGCCGTCCTTTCCCGTATACTCTTACCTCGAAGGTCGTCTGCCAGACCCGTCAAAAACGTACACGCGCATCGCCGAGATCCACGAGACACAGGAGGCTTCCACAATCAAGCGGCTCATAGAAGAGAGACGACTTCGCATCGGCGCGACACTGGAGGGTACCACAGCCTCTGTTAAGAACGAGATATACGCTACTAGCCCGCTAGAAGGGATATACGAGGAGATCATCAACTGGACGGGCGATGACGAGCTGAGACGGGAATACGAGGAGAAGCTGCTTGCTAGAGCGTACGATACCTTGATGGTGCTGCCATCAGGAGAAAAGGCGGAGAAGAGGGAGAAAGTCATGAAGCTGGCCCATGACATGGTTGTGATCAAGCACCCGAACCTCCTGGCTTGGACAATCGAGTTGGAGTGGCGGAGCGGTATGGAGGTCGAGGCATACTAGACGATTTCACGAGATTCTGCATAGCAAGGCGTTTGGCTGTTCGATGACCGTTTTGGGGGGAATTTGGCACATGAATGGGACCGAGTTCGGACCCCCTTCTGAAATATACGAACATTTGCATTATGATAATCTTTGCGCAAAAACGTTTCCAGACGCCAGACGCCACCCATGCTACCCTTGCTCTCTACGCGTTCGCCGCGCCTACGACCCTCTTTCTCTCCTCTACACTGTAAAGACTTTCGCCTTGTTTGAGCGCATGAATGAGCATCGGCACACTGCTCGCCTTGAAGTCTGGTGCTTCACGCACTTTGTCGAGATCGTCAGCGAACTCAGCCGCGATTTTGCGCAGATAGAGGGCGCCGAAATCGTCTTGCGCCTGTTGACTAGCCTTTGACGCTGCCTGTTTTGGTGGCGGAGAAGCTGGTACATCCGTCATAGCGACATCTTCATCTGGCTGAGCCTCTGGAGCACTGCCTGTCTTGGACTTCTTCTTCTTCTCTTTCTTAGCGGGTGCTGGTGCTGGCGCTGGCGAAACATCCTTTTTCGAGTCAGATCAGATCAGACCTGTTCAACGCGACACTCATACCTTTGTTTCTTCTTCTACCGCGGCCACCTTTTGACTCTTTACACTTGAGACATCGCTGTCACTTTCGCTCGATGATGAGACTGTCCAGTTGTTAGCGTAGCCCTCGCGAACTGTTGAACATCGCTGCTTGTACCCTCCGTTCTCGTCTTTCTCTTCTTCGACCGCTTCTTCTTTTCGATACCGCTTGCTCCCCTTTGCGCCGCCATTTCGTCGTGTTTGGTGGATTGGGAAAAAGTTCGAGATGTGAATGTTGGTTATCGATAAGGCACGTGCGCCGCTAAATCAAGGGTCTGCACTTTTACTAGTCTTCATCTCTCTCGGCTCATAGCTTCACGACTGGAACTAGAATATTGTCGGAAAGGGATGCCTGTCCATCATATGTTCGAAGTTACGGGTGTGACGATATGTCTGCTACGCTTGCCATGCCGCGAGATGCAAGTACCTCTATCTGAACTAACTCGGAAACCCTAGGTATCCTCCAGCCTCTTTTACAAGATGCTCTCTATCGTAGCAAGCTCTTCCATGGCACTCTTTACGCTCGTCTTGATCGCGTCGCTAACTGGCAAGTATGGACGCCTGGGGTTGAGCTTTCCCTCTGCGCCCCCAATACCAGCAGCTTTCGCACTGTATTGACTAACAGCGTGCTTTGTTGGAGCGATTCCAGCCTTGATCGGGCTCTCTGCGAGCGCCGCCTTCCGGTGAAGCTCCAGGGCTTCTTGAGTCTTCCCAGTAGTGTACCACTCGTAGACCTTTGAGCAGACCTTCGGGAAAACGTTGCTGAATGCCGACACGCACCCTGCACTTCCGACCGCAAGGCCAGCAACCAACCAATCCGCTTGGCCCGCATACGTAGAGAAGGTATCGCTTGGCAGCTCAGCACATAGCCTGGTTATCTTCGCGACGCTGCCACACGTCAACTTTACGCCGACAATCTTGCCAGGGTTCCGTTTTGCGAGCGCGGCGATCGTGACAGAATCAAGGTCCACCCCATTGCAGATACCCGGGAAGTTGTAGATGACGATAGGCAACTCGGATTTCTGCGCAACCTCATCGTAGAAAGCCATGACAACTTCTTTAGAAGCTGCTGGCCCATAGTACGCCGCTGGTAGCAAGAGTCCATAATTGGCTCCAGCCTCAATTGCGTCGCTAATGTTCTCCATGACTTGAGGTACAGAGAAGCCTGAGATGCCGGCCATCAGAGGGTAGTCGGGGCCGACGGCCTCACGAGCACATTTCATCAACGCTCTCTTCTCATCGCGAGTGAGGAGAAATGCCTCAGCGTTAGAGCCAAGAATGACTAAACCAGTAAGACCCGATTTGGAGAGGTATTGGAAATACTGTTTCTGTGCGGCGAGATCCAAGGTTGCCGTGTCGCTTTCGGAAGTGTAGAAGGTTACTGCGGGGCACCATACGCCCGGAGCTGGAGGAGGAGCCATAGCGACTGTAGCTGTTGATAATAGCCTCCGGGGAGGGTATGCTTTCTGGGTCGACCTTGGTGATCAAAGCGGGGAGGCGGGGTGCAGGTGGGGTAGTAAATCCGACAATGGAAACCTGCGAGCGTTTCTGTAATCAATACTTATTTCAATGTTCAGCAGCACATAGGTAGTAATATATGAGATCTGAGTTGAGAGGATACGAGGTGGCCATGCACCATCGGAGTCATGCCATGGGCCTTCAATAGCCGCTGCGCGGAACGTTCCGACTATCCCGATACTCGCATTTGTTGAGCCTCATCTTCTGCCATCTCCACTCTTCCAATAACGGCCTTCCAGATAGCGACCTTTGTCGTGAAGTCCACCGAATACATTTGGAGATGTATCACTATAAGAACGCCTTGGGAGTGGCCGGTCCACCCCTCACCTCCCCTTCCTAGGTTGGCCCCACTGCTTTCAGTGGTAGACTGGACCGCTGCTGCCAATCGGAGACCTATGAAACAACAGCATGTTTCTCGGCTCGATCACCGTCATGAATACAGCCATTTTCGACAACGATGAGAAGAAATTTCTGTCGGCATATTCGACTATCCAGGGCAGCATTAGGAACGATCTTCTTGCTCTACTTGACTCAACCCTAGCATAGACAGATCCTAGTGTCCAGGCTGATTGCATGTGTCTATTCCAATGAGAGAACCTCTTCTCAAGCGGGCAAGATGTCGTCTCCGAAAAGTCATTAATGTCCCCCGCCCCCGCGAAACCCATATCAGCAAAAAAGGACTCACGCGACACGATCAACAAGCTCCTGACTTGGCGAATGCAACGACAGTCACGATTACCAAACCTAAAAACAGGCTCCAGAAAATACTCATGACTGTATCGAAGAAGTACAGAGGACGATTACACGACGAACTCGCACAGCGGCTTCATGAGGATGTTCGCAACGCCCGAAGCATCGACATATCACGCACTATGGATGTTCCTACCCCTGTTCTCGTACCTACACAAAGGCAGAGTTTATCATTCTTATTGATGCCTGCAGAGATTCGAAACGAAGTCTATCAGTATCTCCTGCCGGATGTTACCAGCCTGCGAGACGTTACCGGTCTTCTTAGCGCTTGCAAGCAGACCCGTCAAGAGCTTTCCAGCATGATCGTTGCCGAGAGCCAATTAGTCATGAACGGCGCAGTACAGAAGAGCATCGATATGGTTCAGGTCGCTTTTTCCACCAATGAGACAGATACGGTTATCGGCACGCCCCAGATTCAGACGCATTCCCACCTTCACAATGTGAAAGTCCGTCTCGGAATGCGCGATACACGCTCGCTACCTGCCGACGCAAATGCACCACGCATATACTTCGACGACGTCTTCGCCTCGTTCCGCGAATTACTGAGCCTACATCTACCCTACGTTACCGTCAATGTCCCTGCCACGATCGCCAAAGACGCCAGCATAGCCGATCCTGAACTTCGACATCGCCTGCTAGACGCATGCATCTTTACCTTCAGGGGATTGGAAGAGACTCCAGGGGTCACAATGAACGTGCAGCACGTTATATTCAAGATTCAGACTCACAAGTGGGATACCGCGGCTCTCATACATGAACCTGTTGTAGTGTTTGTAAGACGTATCAACGAACAGAAAGAGATCAAGTTTGATCTGCTTTGGAAGGACCCAAGGACGGAGAGCCAGCAAGACTCCACAGACATGGCAATGATGGCACAGTTGAAGGATATCGTGAGGAAGAGTCGAGAAGCTACTTTAAGTGATCATTAGTCACCGGTACAGAGCTGCATACTCCTGGCAAGCAACGTTGGAGATGCGAACCTGTGGCTGATAACTCCTAATCGCTAGGATCTTTCTGAGTACTTAGTTCAAGGGAAGCGACGCATATTCCGTAATAATTACAAACAAATTGTTGTACCTTGGGTCGCCTAATGATATCCCCATAACAAGTACGAAACTGGTCTGGGCTCCTTCGACATGTGGATTAAAGAGTTTTTCTCGTTGCCATCTGACCAAGTCTAAACGTATGGGTTCCAAGGCTGTCCCTTCGCATGAGTATAATTTTATTCTTTGCCGCCAAAACCCCATCACCTACGACTGCCCCTCCTGCCCGCTTAAACTCTGAAACTAGGGAATATATCGACATGAGTAACGCGTCTAGCAAAACCGCGCGAGGAGACTCCGACCCGATGACCAGTGGGTACAGCAAGTCAGCTCCTACCCATGACGGCACCGATCGCTTCCTCCAATTGCCAGGCGAGATACGCAACACGATCTACAAATACGCACTCACTGCCAACCATCACGAACTCTTCTATCGCGACTCGATCGACTTCGAATCAATACCCCAGGCAGTGACCGAAGAGGTCAACAGTATAGACGATGTCTGGCACGCAACACCCCAAGAGTGTGTAGATGCGTATTACAAGCATGAGTCCGCGCAGGGCGCCAAGCTATGTTCTACCGCGGAATCTACATCCGAGTACAACCAGCTCAAATACGTGTGCAAGCAACTCTACGAAGAGACCAAACACTTGTCACTGTTATACAACGATATCGTATTCGCCCAAGACACCGTATGCGCTCAAAACGCTACTCATCAGTTCATCCGCTTCGTGCGCCAATGCGACAAGTCTTGGACTTCTAAAGTCAAAACTGTGGAAATTCGATCATCTGTTCGCTCCAAAGATGAACGAGTGGATGTCGGAGGCCTCATCGTGAAAGGGCACTTCGATGAGTTGCGCATTACGTTAGCCGACCCCTGCCATAAGCTAAATCTTCTGGCCGACTACTGCATCGAAAATCCCAGGGTGCATGTCCGATTCCGTTTATTGACATTCGGACCGTTGTGTCTTATGTATCACGAGGCAGCGCTTTTTCAACGTCGACTTCCCTCAGTCTTCTATGGAAATGGGACTTGCGTACCTTTTGGTAACCATCTGCGTGTTATCAACGACCATTGCAAGACTTTAGCTGTTCGGCTGAGCCAATGTCGCAATTTTGGGTTGTTCTTTACCAAAGAGGAAGCGTTTGATGAGCAAAGACTTAGGAAGTGTATGGTAGAACATAAGTTCTTTCGCAAACACATCTTACCGCTACATGATGGGGGATTGGGAGGAATACATCGAGGGTAGGAGGAGTATCTTTCTTGAGGGGGTGTGATTACAGGTAGTCTCGGAGAGGGCGAACGCGATGTATTAGTAACAGAAGGACATCTGCGCTTAGCACAAGGCATCTACTCGCTCAAATACGATTATTTCATTCGACGATTACCAAACTACATCTTTAGATCTTAATACCCTCCAAAATCGGCTTCGCCTCCTCACTCTGCCACCACCCATCCTTACCACCAGGGAAGCTAAACCGATCCATACTCTCAGGCTTCATCTCAACCGAGTAACCAGGATCCATAGGAGTAACATAGTAGCCGTTCTCAATCCTGGACGGGTGGAAAAAGTGCTCATGCAGATGGTCAACGTACTCCAACACCGACTTCTTCCCCGACACAACAACGTAGTCGATGGTGGAAAGATGCTGTGTGTACTCTGGTAGACCGACACCACCCGAGTGCGGTACGATGGGGATGTTGAACTTGGCGGCCATGAGGAGCACGGCAATGACTTCGTTGACACCACCGAGACGGCAGGCGTCGATTTGGCAAATGTCGATGGCGCCTGAGGCGAGGAATTGCTTGAACATGACGCGGTTTTGGCACATTTCTCCTGTTGCGACGCCGATGTTGTATGGCTTTAGGGCTTCGCGAATCGCTTTGTGGCCGAGGACTGTTGAGGTCAGTATGCGTTTCTCTATAACATAGAAGCAAGGAAAGGGGTACGTACCGTCATCAGGGCTGGTGGGCTCCTCGATAAACCACGGCTTGAACTCCTTCAACGCCTTCATGTACTCAATCGCCTCCGGTACACTCCAGACTTGGTTCGCATCTACCATGAGCACATTACCCTTGTCGAAACCAATGATCTCTCGTGCGATGCTTAGACGCTGCTTATCTTGCGCAATATCGCTGCCGACCTTGAGCTTGAAGTGCTTGTAGCCCTTTGACAGTGTCTCCTTCAGAAGACCACGCATCTTGTCTTCACCGTAACCGAGCCATCCCGCAGAAGTAGTGTATGCGGGGACAGCGCGGCTATCAAGGGCTTCTTGGAGTCGCTCTTTCTTACCGGCTTCGGCTTTGGTCAAGATCTCCAGCGCCTCCTCGGGGGTAATGGCATCGGTGATGTAGCGGAAATCGATCAAGTCGACTATTTGCTGGGGTGTCATGTCTGCAACGATGCGCCATACAGGTTGGCCGAGCGATTTGGCCCAGAGATCCCAGATGGCGTTTACGACGGCACCGAGAGCGAGGTGGATGACACCCTTTTCGGGTCCAATCCACCGGAGTTGAGAGTCGTTTACCAAGTGGCGCCATGTCTTTCCCCAGTTGGCAACTAGTGAGTCGAGTGTGTGGCCCTTGATGCGGTCGGCAAGGTAGGCGATGGCGGTGCATACAATCTCGTTACCGCGGCCAATTGTGAAGGTCTGCAAATTGTAAGCAATCAGGAAACGAATGGATTCAGTTGCCAAGTGGTCACAAATTGGCCGGTTCAGGGGTATCCATGAGTTGGGGGAAGAGATGAGATGATCAGGGCGGACTCGCCAAAGTAGCTCATCTCTTCTACTCATGGCCAACATCGAATGAGATTAGACCTACCATACCATGACCCTTGAACTCAGAGTCTGTGTGTAGGATACAGTAAGCTGAAGAGTAGTCTCCCGCTGCGTTCATAGCATCGGAACCAGTCTTGTCAAGGGATGTCTATTGCAGACGCGTTAGATTCCTCTTTCTCTATTGTATAGCTTGAATGACTAGGGAGCATACCGGAAACCGCACATCCCTCGTCTCAGCACCTGTGATTGTAATGGCCATTGTGATGTTTTCGTTGTGTTGCTACCGATGTTCGGAATGATCGGAATACCCCGCAAAGCTACCAGAAGTTGAGATTCTTTTCAAGCAAACTTGAACACCAGGAAAGATGAAGATGAATGAAGAGGTCAAGGTGAAATGGTTGAGCGAGATACTTATTCCGTCCGGAGGCAGGATCTAGACGGTCTATTTAACTGGCAAGGCATCCGGCACAACACTCCACGCATCTCCACGCCAAATAGTGCCAACCGCCCGCGCCATCGTGAATTCCACCCCACTTGCCCCTCATCATTCGTGGAAGATCTCGGCGCGCCACTTTCTGGGGCTGGAAAAATCGGGGCATTTGGCAACGTTGCCGGCATTTTATTTACCTCACACGTGAGCTGTACAGTGCTACACCCCACGAACTATAGGGGTCCCTTGCCCAGAACGCGGCTCCAGGTGCTTCGCGGCTAGGCGAGAAGCTTGGGCTTGACGACGCGTGACAACGCTTAACAGCGTGCGAGGAGGAACTACGTGGAAAGCCGCCGTGATGACACGGGCAAGTAGTTCAATATGAAGCTTGTTCCTGACCTACCCCAACGACTTCTTTACAATCATGAAGTGTGATCAAATACCGCGGCAAACAAGGCTTACCGGCCGCGGGGTGGCATGAGTGGGTTTAAGGAGTAGTCCAACCCGAGGATCATGAGTACCATCAAGGTAGACTCTCAATGCTGAACATCAGCAAAGCAAAAAGAGCACGCATAATACTTACGCCCCATAAAACTACAGCGAAGCATCATCCAAATTTGAACAACGGTAAAAGAAGAACGCCTGTGTATTAGTGGTGTGACAATCGAAAGTAAAAGGACGGACCTGGTATGACTCTCCATTCCAACCATACGCCCATTATCTACACGTCGTTTCGTGATGCAAGATCCGAGGACCCTACAGCGCGTCAATACTACCCAAACAAGACCAAGACCTCCCAAATACTCACTCGCCCGGTTCGTGAGGATTGCAAGAGCCACATCGGTGATGAATCCGAAAGGCACTGTCGAAGATAGATTGCTGTTCCACATGAGCAAAAAGCAACGTGCTCACTTGATACCCCTCTTCTCGGTCTCACTGTAGTAGATGACCATACGCCAGAGCTTCTTCACGAGTGACTCGGCTTCGTCATCGAGAGCCACTTCCAAGTTCTCCACCAGGGGCTGCGGTGCGCCCTTGCTCTTCAAATGGTCTACGATAGCGTCGACAAGCATCTCTTCTTGTACACCAGTGAGCTCAAGAACCTTGTTGGCAGCCCACTGCTTGATATCCTTGTCGATGTTCTTCTGAGGCAAATGCTCCCAAGCGACGGGCCATTTCCACAGGCCTTCCTTGTCGTTGGGAATGTCGCGCGCCAACTGTCGCTGGGCTTCTTCGATTTCTTCTTGCGTAAGGTTGGCACGTACAGCCGCATCGAAGTTGATGGGCACGAGAGTTCGCTTCTTGGCACCGGATTGATCTGTGAGGTCCTCGTCCTCGAGCAGATTCTCGACATCGGCGGCGGTTCGACGGGGAGCGGCAGTCTTTTCGAGCTTCTTGGCGGCGGCCCCGAGCGAGATCTTGAAATGAGCTGGCTCGCGCTGTTCCTCCCTGCGCATAAGCTCTTCGCCTTGCTCCTCCAAGAAGGCATCGGCCTGGCCGCGGGCATGGTCCTTCTGCTTCCTCTGCGAGGCCAACTCGCGCCGTTCTTGTTCGCGATCGATCGCGTCTTCCTTTGCCTCCTGTCCACGGACTGACTCGCGGTCGCGGATCCAGTCGCTGTGATCGCGGTAGTAGAGATCGCGTCTCGAAGCTGCCTCTTGATCATCGTCAAATTCTCGAAGTTGCTTCGCTTGTGCTGCACGAGCTTTCTCGCGCTCCGCGTCCATGTTCTTGAAGTAGTCGTTTGTACGCTCGACGGAAGCGAAAGTACGACGCTCGGTCTGAAGCCAGCGGGAGAGTTGCTTCTTGTATGCCTCATCAGCTTCTTCTGCTCGCTTCTTCTTGCGACGACGCTCAAGTTCTGAGTCGCTGGCGGAGTCATCGTCGTCCTCGCGGTTGATGTATGCGCCGTTATGTACGGCACCGCCATTGACAAAGTTGACACCACCTTGGTAGTCTCGGGGAAACTGTGAGCCCTTGGGCCCACTGGGTGCACCTTGAACACCCCGTTCTGCTCTGGGGCCCAGCGGTACACCATTGGCACCTCCGGGTCCAGTAGGGGCGGATGGTGGTGGGGATGCACGTCTACCACTACGCCTGCGCTCCTCGGCCTCAAGCTCCTCTTCTTTCAGGAGTCGTTCGCGATCGCGTTGGTTGGAACGGTCGCGGAAGGCAGCAATTTCTGCGGCGACAATTTCGCGCATCTCTGCAGGGATGTCCGCAAGCTCATCCTCGCCATTCGCAAGGTTGACGAATGCAACTTCCACGTCTTCACCGTCTTGTGCCTGTGCATCTTGCATCATTGTGTCTCCTGCGTAGTCGACGTTGGGTGCGTTCGGCGGGTTGAAAAAGCTCGCGAGGACCGAGGAAAGCGCTTCTTTGGCACTGTCGAGCCTGAATTGAACCGTGGCCTCGTCTTCGTTTCGGGTCTTGCTCCATTCCTCTGCGTACTTGATCGAAGCATCATCCACCATGACGTGCAACTTGGTCGTCTCCACCTCGTCTTGTTCGCCGTCGTCGGTTTTGGGCTTGCCGGCCTTTTGACGTTTTGTAGGCACATGCACGTCTTTGAATATCTCGGCGGCTGTCTCCAAGCTCTGGGCGTCTCCAAACTCGGCGAACCCAAACGTCTGGGGCTTGTTGTTGGCGTCGGTAGCTCTCGTCCACCGAACAAGCTTTCCTGCCGTCTCGAGGATGCGCTCCATGCCCTCATCGCCTCCAACGCCATCGGGAATGTTGCCGACGAAGATGGTTCGCGCGATATCTTCGCGCGACGGGGGATTAACGGGCTGGACGGCGTCCCTGCGATCGCCATCTCTGTCCATGCCAAGGCCACGGCGACCGGGTGGTGCGGCGTTGTCTCTTCGGCCGCCTACAGGGCTGTCGACAGCGCCAGCTCGTCCGCCCTGTGTTCCCAGACGGATGACGGGCGCATTGAAGTTGAAGGTGGGCATGTTGGTGGGCGGTGCCCATCCGGATGGCAGAGCGCGTGGTGCATTCATTGCTGGCGGGCCTTGGGCGTTCGCGACACCGGGGGGAACTGCTACGCCGGGGGGAGCTGCTGCGCCGGGAGGACCTGCGCAATGTCAGCGTTGCTATTGTCAGTTACTGCTATCACATACCCATTCCAGGCGGCGCCATGCCTGCCATGCCTGCCATGCCTGCCATGCCTGCCATGCCTGCCATGCCTGGCGGAGTGCCTGCGAAGCCCGGAGGGCGGTTGTAGCCCGGAGCACCTGCGCATGTTAGCTGAGTTCGCGTCGCAAAGGATCACTTTACATACCAGGATAGCCGTACATCTTGCGCAGATATACAGTCGCCGGACTTGGTGGGATTATTGAAAGAGAGAGGTTGGATAGGGTATCGAGGTCGCTGTCGCGTGTTGCAGTGAGAGAAGAAGTCACAGTTGAGATTTGGAGCTCGAGGAACGCTCGGACCACTATATCGCCGACAAATTTGGGAACCGCGACGTGCATGACCTCCATCATTCACCGGAGCCATCCCGCAATTGCCCGCCGCCAGCACGTCTAAGCACCCCGCCCATGTCAATACTGTAGCAGCAGAGATTCAGAATGGCCTCACGATCGTTGGGTGAGCTTCTGCTCCGCCCTGCCAACTTCACACGGATACCACACACCTCGAGCCGGACAACCCCGTCATGGACATGTCAACGAGCCATTTCGAACACACCGAGATGCCTTGCGCAACAACCACTTCCGAAGAACGACGACGAGCACTATGTACCCGAACGGGAAGCTCAACGGCCGCAAGCCCGCTACGTTCCTGAGCGGGAGGCCGCAGCACCACAACCTCGGCCACAGCCCACCACCCAAAGAAATACTACACAGACAATGGACGCTCTCCTCGGCAGCATGCCTCGGAGCGCAAGGCCTAACACACCAACCGACCGCGTCTTCGGCGAGGAGTTTGCGGGCTCCGGCAGCAGACGACCTGGTAGGAGGCCAGGCCTGGATTTCAGCCAAATGGCGACGACCGATGGAATGCTAAATCCCACCCTCGCCAACAAACCCTCCGAGGCGTCACCTCTCGCTGTACAACAAGAAGAGACATTTGCCCAGTACCCGCGCTTGAACCCCGCATATGGACGCACTGTAGAGTTGGATGTCAACCGCGGACGTGATATTGTGAGGGGCATCGGCATGTTGGGAAGTTTAATGGCAAGGAACAAGGTCAAGAGCGACTTCAACAAGCAGAAGTTCCACGAAAGAGGCGGACTGAAGCGGAAGCGGTTGGCGTCTGAGCGGTGGAGGGCGAGGTTCCGAAAGGGTTTCCAGGACGTCACAAACCGAGTGACGGAATTGACGAGGAAGGGATGGTAGATCCGAATGCTCTTGTTCTGTGACTTGGGGATGGTTTGGAGGGGCGTGTGTAAATCGGATGTGTACATATTGTACTATAACAGCATTTGCATAGGAAGCAATGACTGCTTCTCGATTTGATAGATATGAAGAGATCACGATTGTCTCCGTAAGCTAAAGATGTAGCAATACTTCATACTGCACGATACTGTGAGGGTCACCCTGAATACACATGAATCCACCCATCATATTGTCAAGTCCAGGACGTGGCTTTATACAGCTTGACTTCAATTGGCCCTTCTGAAGCACGAACAGAACACATTCCGCGGTAAATAAAGCAAGTCGGCATCTTTTTCGTCTTGACAACCATGTCGCGCAGGTGAAGCTTGGATTGCGGAGTTGCACCGGGAGTGTCTTTGCCGCGGGCGGGCACAGGCCAGGGACCTCGATCCGTACTCAACAATGTCCAAGTTGACACATGCACCTCGACCGTCGCAGCTGCCTTACGCGCAGCACCAACTACACATGCGCTTAGTGATTCCTTGAGCCTCCTATATATCATAATCGCCATGATATTGCAACGAAAGTCACCATCATGGCTCCCTGTCATCGCGTTGTTCTCGTCCTTTGCAGCAGCATTGAGCGGACAGGAGCCCATGAAGAGCGCAGAAGAGGCACGAGGATACAACCCGGGGGAAATGATACCAGTCAGTTGTTTGAACAGGACCATGTAAGTTACAGCACCTCCACGAAAAGACGCGAGTGCAATTGCTAACCCCAACCAGAGAAACCGGTGAACATGTACGCCCACTCCCTTCACACCCCAAGCCACCCGCGCAAACACCTCCAAACCAACTAACACACCCCCTCCCAGATCACCGATGCCGCCGGCCATCTCCAATACATACCCTTCCCCACCTGCAACGAAACCGGCCAACCCCTCCACCTAAACTTCGGCGTAGAAAAAGACGTAAACTGCACCATAGACTTTGTAACAGACGAGTTCTTCCACCTGCTCGAATTCTACATCCACAACGACGCGCCCCTTTCCTGCCGCATCCCGTCCAAACCGCTCCCACCCAGCGTCCTAGAAACTGAATACCGGGTCAGCGATGAAAGTACACAGGAGGGTGCGTTGGGGACGCAGAGTACAATGTACACGCCGCTCATTATTGCGCTGGCGGGGACGCTGCAGTTGAGCCATTTGCATGTGGGGAATTATTTGAACCTGCTGGTTCATGCTAGTCCTAAGAGTGTGGCGCCCGGGACGGTGGATGCAGCGACTGCGTATTCCGTGTCGAGTCATACGCGCAATACCAAGATTACGATTGGGGATCCGTTGAGTCTGGCGTTCAGTGTGCGGTGGTATCCCAGCACGACGCTGCCTCCGGGTTGGAGTGGATATGGAGGACATATTTATACTAGTACGTTGGTGTACTGTTTCTTGAGTGCCGTGGCGAGTGCGGCTATTTGCGTTGTTTACTTCCGGGGTGTTGAATTGCCGAGACGGCTGAAGAGGTATGCTACGGATAGGATGAATGGTGGAGGTGGAAGAGGATTTGGAAACGGAGGCAGTGGATACGGGCTCCCGGTCGCCAACGGACGAGGAGGCGGCATGGGCAGTGGCTACGGTTTGGGAGGATATGGCTACGGAGGCGGAGGCAAGAGAGTCGACTGAGCTTGACATGTGACCGTGTATATACACAGGCGTGACAATATACTTCAATGTGTCCATTGGTGTTCCATAATCTCGGTATCACCTACAGATACTTAAGATGCTTGCTATATAATTTATCCTCCAGTCATCAAGTCATTCAGCCATTACAGCCTCGTCACATATCATCCGTTTACAAAGTAGACTTCTTCTTGAAGGCGTTGATGAGTCCACTTGTGCTAGCATCGTGAGAAGAAGACTCCTTGGACTCGTCAAGCTCAGACAGGATCTTCTTGGCCAATGACTTGCCGAGCTCGACACCCCACTGGTCAAAGCTGTTGATGTTCCAGATGGCGCCCTCGGTGAAGGTGAGGTGCTCGTAGTAGACGATCAAAGCACCAAGAGTGGCAGGTGTGATCTTGTCGGCCAAGATGGATGTGGTGGGTCGGTTACCCAGGAAGGTCTTGTGAGCGACGAGGTCCTCGGGCGCACCCTCAGCCTTGACCTCATCGGGGGTCTTGCCGACCATGAGGGCCTCAGCTTGGGCAAAGAAGTTGGATGCAAGCATCTTCTGGTGCTTGTTGCCCTCGACTGGGTTGTGGCTCTGAGCGGCTAGGATGAAGTCGGTGGGGATGAGCTTGGTGCCCTGGTGGAGGAGCTGGTAGAAGGAGTGCTGAGCGTTGGTGGCCGGCTCACCGAACAGAATGGGACCGGTAGTGTACTTGACGTAGTCACCGCTGCGGGTGATGGCCTTGCCGTTCGACTCCATAGACAATTGCTGGAGGTAAGCAGGGAACCTGTGCATGTACTGGTCGAAGCTAGAAAGATTTAGACTAAGCCTTTTCGCAAGATAGCAACTTTGAAACTTACGGAGAGACAAGGTGGGTCTGGGCACCGAAGAAGTCGGAGTACCAGACACTCAGAAGACCACCGATGACGGGAATGTTCTGCTCGAGAGGGGTCTCCTTGAAGTGCTTGTCCATGGCATGGGCACCAGCGAGGAGCTGGTGGAAGTTGTCGAAGCCAATGTAGAGAGCAACACTCAGACCAATGGCACTCCAGACACTGTAACGTCCACCAACCCAGTCGGAGAAGCCGAACATGTTCTTCTTGTCAATGCCGAACTTGGTAACCTCCTCCTCGTTGGTGGAGAGGGCGACGAAGTGCTTAGCAATGTCCTCCTGCTTTGCGCTCTTCAAGAACCATGACTTTGCGGTGTTGGCGTTTGTGACAGTCTCGGCGGTGGTGAAGGTCTTGGAGGCGATGAGGAAGAGAGAGGTCTCTGGGTTGGAGTCCTTGAGGGCCTCTGCGATGTGGGTACCGTCGATGTTGGAGACGAAGTGGATCTTGAGATCGCGCTGGGAGTAAGCCTTGAGAGCTTCTGAGACCATGACGGGGCCACTAAAAAGAGTTAGCATGTTTTTGAAGCGTATCCAAGTTGCGTGGAATTGCATACAGGTCAGAACCACCAATACCAATGTTGATGATGGTGTCGATCTTCTTGCCAGTGTATCCCTTCCACTCGCCACTGCGGACTTGCTCGCTGAACTCCTTCATGTGGTCGAGAACAGAGTTGACGTCCTCGACGACGCTCTGGCCATCGACCTTCATCTCCTGGTTGGAGGTGTTGCGAAGGGCGACATGGTAGACGGCGCGGTTCTCAGTGAAGTTGATCTTCTCGCCAGCGAACATGTCATCGCGGAGCTTCTCGAGGCCAGCCTCTTTTGCGAGCTCGATGAGAAGCTTTAGTGTCTCCTCGGTGACGAAGTTCTTGGAAAAGTCGAACAGGATCTCGGAGTTCTCGGCATCGTTCTTGAAGGTACGGCTGAACTTCTCGAATCGCTACCATGTTTTAGCAAAGGTACTGGGATAGCTTCTTCTGGGCTTACCTGAGGATCCTTCTTGAAGTACTCTTTCAGGACGATGTCCTTGCCAAGCTTCTGGTGGTGGTCCTGGAGCGCCGACCAGGCGTTGAGGTCAGAGGCCTGTGCGAAGCCGGGCATGTTGTGTTGCGGGACTAGGGGTTGGGGTATAAAGGTTTGGACTTGGACAATTGGACAGAGGTAGGGTCAATTGCAAGTGCGAGATGATGAAGAGGGTGTGAGTAAGGTGAAGGTTGTTGTTTTGGCCGATGTCATTAGAAATGTCGCGGCCGAGACCTGGCCCCGCTTGCGTCAGAGCTTCGTTGAGGGAAGGAGGGGCACCACTTTTCCCACGCGCTTGCTGTCACGACATCCCGTTGGTCCCACCCCGACAGCCCTACAGCATTTGCAAGCACCACAAAGCCGATCACTAAGATTCGTGCATGTCAAACTCAAAGGGGATATCGTCTTGATTTGCTTGCCTGAATTTAGGCTTCTCTCACACAAATGCTGCCTCAAGCGCCATGCCATTGCACCTGAACCCAAAAAAGCATCAAAGAGCGCTGAGATCCCACCAATCACCACGGCTTCTATCTGTGGATCCAAAGCCGGTGGGTGTTGTGCCTGGTGTCGGCTCCATCGCCGTGACAAGCCACACGCATACTCAACGGAGATTTCCCGAATCCTAATTTGTTACGCCCAGGAATGCACTATCTTTCTGTCACACCCTCGAATGATGGATCCTTCACCGAGCCACCAGCGTCGCCAAGACCAGCAACAGGGCGGTTGTATGACCATCCCGCGAATTGCTGCTGCATGGTCTGCGAAAGCATGGGACCATCGACATATGAATCTGTTGGAGCTTCGGAAGTGAACTCGCGGTCGAAGTTGGCAGTGTCCTTTGCGTCAACCTGAGGGCATGTTAGATTTGACTCCTCGAACAATGATGACATTACGTACCACATTAGGCTTGAAGCTGGGCTCGTACTTCCTCTCAAGAAGCTTTCGCCAGTCGATGCTGTGGAAGAAGTAGTGCGCCTTGATCTCGGCTGCGCCCTTAGCACCCAGTCGCTTCTCAGCGTTGCGGTCTAGCAGGCGGGTCAAGAGATCGCGTGCGGCCGGTGGCACGATCTCAGGGCCAGGGAAGTGTAGAGGCTCGGTGAGAATCTTGCGGTACATGTCGTTGGTGTTCTCATCATAGAATGGGGGCAATCCAGTCAACATCTCGTATAGGAGAACACCCAGTGTCCACCAATCGACAGACTTGGTGTAGCCAGCGCCAGTAAGGAGTTCCGGAGCGAGGTATTCTGGTGTTCCACAGAACGCTAGGAGGTGTTAGTAGGCTGACACAAATTCATTCGGACTCGACTTACTGTTTGTCCGGTCCTCATCCTTCATGTCCAGCTTGCAGAGACCGAAATCGCACAGGGCAATGTGGCCAGTGTAATCGAGAAGGATGTTCTCGGGTTTCAAATCACGGTAAATGACGTTGAAACCGTGCAAGCACTCAAGAGCGCACAGCAGTTCAGCGGCATAGAACCGAGCTCGGTTGATGTCGAACCGTTGTTCCTTCTGCAGATGGTGGAAGAGTTCTCCACCGTTGACAAAGGCCAAAACAAGATACAGCTTCTCTGGCGACTGGAAAGAGAACTTCAACGGAACGATGAAGGGGTTGTTGATTTGAGCCAAAACAGACCGTTCGGCCAGAGTATGCGCGACTTCGGATCGGGAGATGATGTGTGCTTTGCGAATGGTCTTGAGGGCGTAGATCCGGTGCGTGTCTTTCTTCCTGCGCGGTGTGAGTAGTTGTTAATGTGACAGAAAGTAGAAGCACATACTGCACCTGCATGACCTTTCCGAAACTGCCCTTGCCGACTACTTTGAGGAGTTCAAAGTCGTCAATCGCGAGACGGTCTTGCCTGTTCTCGACAAAGTTGACGCCGACCTTCATCTGGCCGCTACCGAACTGCACTGGTATCCAGTCGGCACCGGCCTGGCCAGCGCCACCCTCTCCATTTCCGGCCTTGCTGTCCTGCCGCGACTCCTCGAATCGGGGGTGGACCTTCAGTGTTCCAATGAAGATGTCTTCGTTGCGACCAGCGTTGGGCGAGGCGGAGGGGTTTCGGATGTAAAGCGAGACGGTGAGGTCGGTGACACGGGACACATCGAACTTGTACTGGGTGTTGCTGCCCGCCCAGAGTGGGTTCTCGGGGGTACCGGAAACTGCGTTGATGAAGACCTGCTGCTTGTCGAAATCGACGAGGGCATAGGGCAGGTGTTTTGAGGAGTAGCGACCGTGGATCGTGGGCGCGGCATTGATGCTGCCAGCAGCAGACTGCGGCCGGTGCGAGGACGAGCCGGGGCGCATTGAGCCCGCGACCGAGAGGCCGCCGCCCTGGGACATGGAGCCCTGGTGGTGGCTGCCGCCGCTGAACTGCTGCTCGGCGCCGGCGGGCAGGGAGAACTTCTGACCCTCATGGAGCGTGACTATGAGGATACCGGGGCGCAGGGGCTGTGCCGGCGCGGAGGCGTTGGCTTCTGAGGCGGCTGTTGGGGTCGGTCAGCAGGCGGTGAGTGTGGGCAGAGGGTCCCAAGTACCAATGCCATTGTCCTTGGAGTTGCCGAGCGTCGTCGCGCTGGCGGCGGAACTCGAGGCTTTGGGCGTCGGCTGGTCATCGACTATGGTCGACGTCGACGACGAGCGACTGAATGTGTTGGCGAGGGGCGCCAGATGCGTCTCCTTGAGCTCTGCAGCACGTGTTAGGGGGGCCTCACGCAGACGGGCCTGGGGGATACGCACTCTTGGTGAGCTTCCAAGACATGGTTGCGGCAGCTCAGCGGGTGGGCAGATGCAGGAAGAACAGACGGACAGCTGGGAGTGGAGACAGGCGGGAAGGCGACGAGGGGCACACCAAGGGCGGAGAGGGCGCGCAAGAGGCAGAGGAGGATGTCTACAGAGCAGAAGCAGCGGCAGGAGGCAGGTATAGGGCGCGGCTGGTGGCGATGCTGCTAACGTCCGAGTGCCCCAGGCCTTCGTCAATGCTGCGATGCTCAGGATAGGGTCCTCGTTTGAAGTTGGGTCATTGGGTCTGAAACTAGCCTTCATTTCGGAGGCACCACGCACTGACACGCCAATCCTCCCTCATTCCTTTGCGTGTTTCGCGTGTTGCAGGACGGGCGAGTGAGTCTTGCTTTCTATTTTAATCTGCCTGGCTGCTGCGGCGCCATCGCGATTCTCTGCGACATCTGGCCTGTCAGTCCTGCCTCGGCTGCAGCTGCCGTGGCCGCGAACGTTGACCCTCTCCCGCCCGCGTACGTCAACACCGCGACCTTGGAGCCCAACACGACTCTCCCTCGACGCGCTATTCACTCCCAGGCGCCCGTCCCCGTCCAGCATTGCGACCTGCGGCATTATCCTGCATTTCATTAGGCCATTAGTCAGCGCCCCCGCCGACCCCGACACGCGCCCCTGCCGTGCACAGCCACAGATACCGTCACTGCGTCACCCCGTCACCCCCAATCACCAAACCCGCCTTCACCTGCGCGCGCAATTAGCGGGGCACCATGGGTGTCATCAAGAAGAAGACAGGCACGCGGGGCACGGAGGGCGGGACCAAGTATGTTTGCGATGTTTGTTCATCCGATATCACGTCGACCGTCCGCATACGCTGCGCCGAGGACGTCTGCAACGAGTACGACCTCTGCGTGCCCTGCTTCTCCGACGGCAAGGCTTCGCGAGACCACCAGCCTGCCAAGCACAAATTCAAAGTTATAGAACAACACTCAATACCTATATACACCGAAGACTGGGGAGCGGACGAGGAACTGGCCCTGCTGGAAGGCGCTGAAACATACGGTCTGGGATCATGGGCAGACATTGCGGACCACATAGGCGGCTACCGCGAGAAGGACGAGGTCCGTGACCACTACATCAACACATACCTAGACAGCCCAAGCTTCCCTCTGCCTGAGCACTGCAGTAAGGATGATACCGAGCTCAGCACCCGCATACCACGTCATGAGTTCCAGGCGAGGAAGAAGCGGAGGATAGAGCAGAAGAAGGAGGAAGCTGCAGGCCGCGAGCCCGATGCGCCGAAGCAGAAGCCCACGGCGAGTGTTCCCGCCTGCCACGAGGTCCAAGGATACATGCCCGGTCGTCTAGAGTTCGAGACGGAATACTTCAACGAGGCCGAAGAGGCTGTGCAGCACATGCAGTTCGACCCCGGTGATGGCTTGAACCCAAGGACGGGCGAGCTCGAGCCGGAGATGGACCTCAAGATGACCATCATGGAGATCTACAACCACCGTCTAGATGCCCGAGTGGAGCGCAAGAAAATAATATTTGAGCATCAGTTGCTCGAGTACCGCAAAAATCAGCTGGCCGACAAGAAGCGGACAAAGGAAGAGAAAGATCTGATGAACAAGGCCAAGCCCTTTGCCAGGATGATGCAACATGCAGACTTTGAGCAGTTCTGCAAGGACCTCGAATACGAGCACAACCTTAGACAGGCCATCTCGCAACTTCAAGAGTGGAGGAATATGCAGATCACGAGCCTCAAAGCCGGCGAGAAGTATGAACAGGAGAAGCAGCAACGGCAAACCAGACCGCCTCCCATTGGGCAGTTCGATCGTCTTGCGTCCAGTAGGATGACCAAGCCGCAACCGCCTTTTGAACAGCCCTCTGCAGCGACAGCATTGCTTGCACAGGAGCTGCCTTTGCACGTCAAGCAGAACAGCGGTCTTACTACGCCACCTCCTGATCGCGCACAGAATGGCGTCAATGGTGCAAACGGCGTTCTGACACCTCAGCACTCCAAGACAAAGTTCGTGCCTAAGTCGCTACCGAACACTGTACCCTTGAAGTTCGGCAAGGAGTCAAAGGCGGATCTTCAGCTCCTCAATCCAGAGGAAGTGGAGATATGCAGCACACTGCGCATCATGCCCAAGCCCTATCTAGCGCTCAAGGAAACCATTATTCGAGCGGCTCTAAACAACGGCGGCGCGCTTAAGAAGAAGACGGCCCGTGAGATTTGTAAGATTGACACAAACAAGTCGTCGCAACTGTTTGAATACTTTGTACACAGCGGATGGATAGCGAGGGCATGAAGGCACCTGAGCCATGGCGTTGGCGTTTGGTAGGGAGACATCATTACTCATTGCGACGGCGTTCGGGCAGATATACCCTCATGGTAGGCGTTGTCGTGTGTATTAAATAGGCTCACTGCTCTCTGTTGAATCCCATATATCAGTCCTTGCTCCTGAAATCAAACGAGGTTGCGCATACTCCTTACTGCGGTGGTCCGTCCATAGCGCTACCACAGCGACGGCTGAACATAAACAATAGCTCACCTGCGCACTTCCCCACTCAACCCGACCACGATACGCTGCACGCAACATGCACTTTACTTTTTGATCATCCAGGCCAGCGGGCCAAGGAAGCTTTTGACGGGTAGCGATAATTCGTGCAGCAAGCCTGACATCATTCGCTCGCTAGCGGTGCCTGGCCAGCCTTGAATCCCAGAGGCAGCCGCCTCCGTATCCACCTCCCTGCATGGCAACCTCGCGCTACTCCCACGAAATGCCCGGGCTATTTACTCCCTCGCCCTCGAATGCGCGCGCAAAGTCACAGAGGACCTACTTCGATGCGACATACGCGCCTGAGACCTCCAGCCACCAGGTGACCGACCCAGATGTCCACGCGACCCGCAAGCGCTCCCGGTATGGCTCCACGGCGCATGAGCCCGCGACAAGCCCTTGGGGTGGACATGCCCTGAACAACGACCGCTTTGGCGACAACAAAAGTCCACCTCCGCTTGCGAACGACCGCTACCAGCTCGCAGGGGGCATGGATGGCACGAATAACTACACAAGACGAGACGGCGACTACGACGACTACTTCAACCTCCAGAAGTCGCGCGGCAACTGGTCAGTTCCGCCTACACCACAGGTTGGCGTCGCGACACAGGTCGCAGTTGGCGAAATGCATATAACACCCAGCGAGAGCAAACCTTGGTCGTTAATGGGCTTAGTCGGAGGCGTAGCCGGCAAGCTCTTCCAGTTCTGTACTGTGCCTTTCAGGGGCTTCCAAGCAGGAGGAGGAGCGAGGTACAATATCGACGCGCAGGAGAAGGTTGCGGAGAAACTTGGTCTTCAGGACGACCCCTTTGAGGCAGGTCCAGTACAACGGTTACCTGCTGAATACCCAAGCGACAACTATGGAGTTGAGTCAATCGAGTCGATCACTCCCGAGCGACCTAGGATGGCCAAGCGACTTCGGACGGCAGATAACTGGGTGGTGGTTGGAACAAATCTGGAGACAGAGTCGAGACCCTCAACACCGCGATTGTCCGAACGAAGATTGCCTGACCGATCGCCCTCACTCATCCCACGGCCTGTATCACGAGCGAACACAGGAACACCATCCCACAAGCGGCCCTCCCTGATCCCAGTGTCCCGACGTTCGACAATGGACAGGCGATCCTTCTACGGTAGTCCACAAGCCACCCCTGGCTCACACGAACGCCCGCGCTCCTATCATCGACAAAGCTTCGGCTCACCGGCCATGCTTGAGGATAATGCAAGCAAAGTCGCCAGCCCTCTGCCGCAGGAAAGCCAGCGTCTGATTGACAAAGTGCGAAGGGAGGAGATGGAGGAAGACGAGCGGATGCGCAGGATGAGCATGCAGATGAGTGCTATGCTCAGAGAAGCGAACGAGGCTCTAGGCTCCAACTTTAAGGTGGAAGAGTACGACGACGATAATATTGGCGACAACCGGGAGCACGAGCAGCAACCGGCCTGGTTTTCATGAACATATACTGTCACTGCAATTTCAGCGTGCGATTCGGCGCTTCGTCGTCATTTGTTTTGTCTCTATAACGGCCTCTTGGAATATTCGGCGTTCACAGATAGAATAGGCGTACACCTGATCACCATTCGTTGGTATCTGCGGCGGCTCCATATGAGTACTGGTTTTCGACATCCACTGGTCAACACAACATGACGGCTTTTAGAATGATACTTCCACGTTTGGTTCGTGTAAATAATTCAAAACCATTCTGCAGTCAATTTACATGCGCCACTTGAATCCTGCACTCATGCGCCAGAAGATGACAGGATCGACGGATCTTGGCCATACCGAGCAACCCCGGCACGCGCGTGCAACGATTTGACTTGCTCAGTTTCCGACAGCTACTAGAGAAGTCTTAACAGGAGGGGGCCCCGTCTTGGACAGTTAACATGTATTTTAGCGATAGCCCTCACCTACTGTATGTGCAGTGAGAACAGCGATCGTTCCTTCCTTGGTAGAGTGGTGCCTGGAATCTTGTGGGTACCTGGGGCGAAACCACGTTAACGCCAGGGTCTCTGTGGCTTCCCTCGTACAATAGTCAACTTCGTGCCGCCCCCGCCCGCAACGCTTCCTGCAACTTGGTCACACAGTGCCGCCGAGCTAGTGCTTATACCCAATGACAGGTAGGGTGAAGAGTTGGAGATGGGGCGAAGCGCTTGGATTTAGGACGTACCCTGTCGGGGCCAGGGATCTGCTGGCGTTTCTACAATACACACGAACATGAAGGAGCGTAACACATAGGTATCAGAAGACACGGTACTGAGCTGCGCTGGTCGCAACAGTCCCTGGGACTACAAGAATTATCTTCAGAACACTGGTCGCTGCTCGTCGCAGTAGTCCTATCTAATGGCGTCGCCGGACAATTTGACCCTGGTCATTATGGGTGCAGCTCGCTAGTACGCGCTGCAGGGCCGTTACAACGCAGGACGCCTTATTTACGCCCTGCCATGCCGCTTGGTACTTTGATGCGAAGAAAGCATATAGCATGGGGACACTGCAAACGTAGACGGTGCTCATCATCGCTTTTCCTTTCAGCATGGATCCCACAGGGCCACCACCATCGAGCCCGCTACTTCAACAGCGCAAAGGGCCGGCGACCAACACAGTCGAGGATTCTGACCAGAGTCAGTCAGAGAAAAGAAGCACTGCAGGTTCGCGAGGATGCTTCGCGGGTTTCCTGGGTGCTCTAATGGTGATTCCGCGGGGTATCGCTCGAGGCTGGACGGCGTTCACTAATGCTATACTGCGAATATGGAGGAAGGGTTGGACAGCAGAGACATGCAGTTGCATATTTGCCTTGCTATCACTGATCGGACTCATCGTTACTCTCATGGCGCACCAAAATCGACCTCTACCGGATTGGCCGCAGATCGTTAGCATAAACTCCATTGTTTCTCTTTTCTCGATGATGATCAGAGCTGGAGTTTCCATGGTACTTGCGGAAGGTACGTCTTGATGCTCCTATATGTTCGCAGAACGTTTTGGAACGGCCGCTAACAGGAACAGGAATCAGTCAATCGAAATGGCAATGGTTCCGCAAATCACGCAAGCTGGAAGACATGGCAAGGTTTGATTCCGCAAGTCGTGGTGCATGGGGCTCTGTCCTATTTATCTTCGGTCTTCGTGTCAAGAAGCCATACTTCATCGCTGCAATGGGCGCCTTCGTCACCGTCATGTCCGCGTTCACAGGGTTCGCCGCTCAGCAACTCATTGTCTTCAATGACTGTCTCCGTCCTGATGAAAGTGCCGCAGTGGGAATACTCAGATCAAATGCTTTCAACAAAAGTGGGGAAAGGAAATCTCCAACGACGGCGGACGAGTACCTTCCTTTGACGGTGGCTATGGATGTCGGAATCTTGCAACCGCTCGAGGACACAACTACACTTCTTTCTTACGGATGCAAGACCGGCAATTGCACATTCCCGGATGCGAATGGAGCGGCCTTCTCAACCCTGGGTGTGGGCTTCTGGTGTCAAAATTCCACTTCACAAGTGGTAGAAACACCGCTCGATTATGACAGTGAAGTCGATGATTATCTCCCATCCACCTACTTAAATGGAGCGACAACCGGATCCAAGACTCCTCCCGAGACGACTGCCAACTCCAACAGCACCAACACGACGGTTCCGCTCGGATACGACTTCGGACTCACCCTGAAGAATGGTACCAAGGCGAGGAACATTGGACTCTCTCTGAGCATTTCCGACACCCTTTTTGATCCTATCGTAAGGTTTCCACTCGCAGGCTGGCCGGGAAAGCTCGTGACCGACGTCTCGGAACCAAAGTACAACGGTACCATAGCTACGATCGGCATGATATACCTTCCGTATGATTCGATAGAGTATCAAGCAATGACCTGCGGCATATACCCTACCGTCAACACCATTAAAGCAACCTACCACAACGGCGTCCTCAAAGAAGAGATAGTGAAAAGCGTAAGAATCGGCGAGGACTTAGCCTTTGGTGGCACCACTTCCTTCCGTCTAGCTACCAAGCAAACCATCCGCAACGGCACAGAAACCATGTGCGACGTGAAGACTTCAGAAACACCTGGCTACCTAGCTGTCGCCAGAGGCAACATCGACGCTGCTCCCATCAACACAACTAGCCTGGACTCAGAAGGCCCAGGTGCAGAGCTTGTGTGGTACCCCGAAGACTGCGTCTGGTCCCTGTTCACCGGGTCCATGACGGGTATACAGACTCATCTCCAAGCTGTTTATGGCCAACAATTTCTCATGGATATTATATCTTCTCGCTATGGCAACGCCTATATGCGTGTTTTGTGGGACAGCGGACAGTTGCCTGATGCGCCGTTAGAGCATGTCAGCAGCATCATGACAAATTTGACTAATGCGATGAACACCGTTCTTCGTACCCACGGTATGGAAGAACATAGCAAACCCGCTAAAGGGACAATGTGGTACACGACAACATGTATTGAGATCGACTGGGCCTGGATTGCGTTTCCGGCTGTGATGATCGCTTTGTCGGCCCTCTTCCTGCTACTAGTGCATATCGAGAGTAGGGGCGTCGAGAGTGGAAGGCTGTGGAAGAGTTCAATCCTGGCAATGTTGTTTTGCGAGATGGACGAGGTGGTTACGGAACAAGCTCAGCCAATGGGCAGACAGCGACTGGAAGAGGTGGCTGCAAGTAGCAGTGTGAGTTTGGGTAAAGATAATGGCGGCTTGAGGCTGGTGGCTAGACAAGCTTGATATCATTCAGTAGATCTATCCTAGAATTTAGATCTCATACAGTCTACCTCAACTGCCTTCGCCCGTACGCGATTTCAGATCTTCTATCAACACGCTCATAAGTTTGAACATTTCGCCTGCAAGCTTCTTTCCCGTCTCCCTCCATTCTTCCTCGCATAGGCGCGCAAATCGGTCTGGATGCCATCGTAAACGCTCTTGCCGCAACCATTCGTAGCTATACAGGCCGCTTGCCCGGAGTAGCTTTTCCACGTCATGCTGGCAGGCGTGTATACTCTCTGGCTCAGATTTGAGTATCGTACACGCCGTAAGGTTGCAAGTTGTGACTGTACTGGGCAGATAGGGAAACATTGAAAGTAACTTGGGTGATGCGGATGGCATGCGCTGTAGCGGTGGTCGAGCAACGTCTGAACTGCTTGACTGGGAGCGGACTTGTAGTTTCCGTGGGGCTTTAGGCTTTGCGCCTCCGGCTGCTGCTGAGGCGGCCGCGAACATGACTGCCGCCTCTGTAGACCATTTTTCGTAGAGTACTTGCGTCGCTGCGTCGGGCTTCGCTTCCGTGGAGTTGGTTGTACCATTCGGCATTTGCCCGCTAGATTGGGATGTGCTGGGTTTCGTCTTCTTCTTTGCCCGAGCAAAGAAATTGAGTGCAAATGTCTCCAAAGCTTCTTCGTTGATATCGTCGATAGATCCAGCCCATGTCCCGTCGTTTCGGATGGCGATGAACTGATCAACACTTGTAGGGTCCAGGGTGATGAAAGCGAGATCGGTCCAAACGAAGCCCTTTTCCGCCTTCCATTCCTCTACCGTCTCTTTGTAGATTTCCCAAGCGTTCGCATCTCCTAAGCGGTACACGACGTCGCCGTACTCGCTCATGGCGAAGAACGCGCCTTCAGGACCCCAGGTCACAATGCGCGGTGGCCCGCATCGCCATCCTGAAGGTGTCAACCAAGACTGTAATGCATCCTCCAGGGGCGTCGGTAAATTTGCCCAACGGATGAGCTCAGGATGCCATATGATGAAAGAGTCGTCCGGTCCTAGGAAGGCACGCAGGTGGGGAGAGTGCCATGTCTTGTTTAAGATGCTCTGAAGCCTTGCGGGTATAGCAGGGCCCCAACGCAGACTGTCCTTTCCTGACGAGTCTTTGGAACTGAGAATCCAGGAGTCGGGCGCTGGCCCTAGAGCTGCCCAATGAACCTCGGATACAGTCCTGCCGAGAAGGAGATCTTGGAGGCTGGCAGGGAGATTGCGGCTTTGTTTTGTCAGTCATTGCGCGTAGGGAAGATAATGGGTAGCATACTAGTTGAGACCCGCAAAGCTCTTGGATATGAAGCTGTCGTCAAGCCCGAACGAGAAGAACGAGGTGTTGGTACCGCTCATGCCTAGCTGCGAGTGGTTGGGCTGGGGTGAAAGCCACTTATGACGTCACGTATCAGGAGGCTGGAGAATCGCGCTCAACTGATGTCAGCGACGCGCTCGAACTTTTGAGTCGACTTATAATATACACGCGAACGCGTAATTTACAGCCGCGGGATAATTGCCAGCCACTGTGACGTCTTCCCAAACTTTCGCGCGCACTGCCAGACAACGGTTTCAGATTGTTGCTATCCGGTTTGCACCCTTGAAGCGATCGAGTCTTGGCAAGGCGAGTGTCAACACTATCAGTCGTGCGTTGTCTGCTTCTTCACAACATTGCGGCTTTATAGCGATACTCTGGTTTCTGCGTCCCACACCGCTTCCAACGATCTAGACCGAGCGGTTCCCTTTTAGCGAGTCCGAGATTTCGGCGGCACATGTGCGATTCCACGTTCACGTTTGGCCAACGCGGCAGCCACTTCTTCCAATGTCCGTCGAGACGAGAAATGTATGCTTGCACGGAATAATCTGATCATATTATGCTGACAATGGTGTAGCGCACGTCTCCCGAGAAAGTTGGCGAGATTTCTCACCTCTTCACAATTGAAGAAGATTCATCATGTGACCCTAGGTTTTGAGGATGCGTTTCTCCTTACCTGGCGTGATACCGATGGAACAGATCGCGTTGAAAGCTCAGGACTCCCGGCCGAGTTAGTTGAGTTTGTGCATACTCGAAATCGCAACATCTCCAATATCCGGTGTACGCTAGGGCCGTACAACGCATCTTTCTTCGTCCACGACAATACTTCATATCTTTGGAAAAACCTTCCAGGACCTCTACTCGTCGCTCTGCAGAACAACATCCAGCATGGGAGTTGGACTGATAGACCGCGCCTCGTAGCACTAGGCGCCGGAGATAACTTTCTACTGATAACCGAGAAGAACGCGACCGTTTGGGATCTGCGACACTATAAGTCTGCTGTTACCTTCCTCCAGAAGAACGCCATAACAGACATCCAGAACTTCGTCTTACATTCCTACCGGTATCAAAGCTTCCTCGCCCAGACTCGGAGCGGCAGACTTGTTTCCGAAAATATACCACCACATCAGGTTGTGGGCGTCCAAGCCATGATGGGACCAATCTTGCAAGATACAATGAACATGCAACGAAGAATTCTCGCACGCGTAGAGAGCGAAAAGAGAGCGACGACCTTACCAAGGAAACTCGGCGCCCTGCAGCAACGTGCGCAAATCCGGAGAGAATGGAGTCACCACAGTCAGGAGTTTACTGCCCAAGCCAAGGGCGTGAAGTTGAGCTTTAGTCTAAATGTGAGCTTGGGCGGCCTGGCGAGAATGTTGGGATGAGAATTTGATCAAGACGTTCGCGTCACCTTTATTCAAGAGCTGAGGAATGCAAAAGAGATGCGACATTGGTGTTACGGGAACAGCGTTGTTTGCTCTCTCAGCGACAAAACGGCAGTACTATCCTTCACTTGCCGCTGGGCAACTACGGTTTTCGCAACACTATGGCCAATTTATCACGAGGCATACGCTGAGTGCAGCCTCTTCAATTTATTCGCCACAGCCGGAGGTTCATTCAATCGCATGACCTGAGACCGAAGGAAATTTCACTGGAATACAGTGCGAAGATTCCCAAGAGAAGGTACCAGACGCCATGAAGGCGCACGTACGTTCACTGAAGTTGTGGCTGCCCTTCTGAGCGACCTCAAGTATTTTCGATCTCTTATAATCAACTGGCTCCCTCAACCCATAGAGCGCGAATTCATGATGTCAGACTTCCATCACTCACCCTACCTCATCGATCAGCCAGACGTGTCCACAGCCGACTCGGGTCCGTTTCCTTTTCTTCGTCTACCAGGAGAAGTACGGAACAAAGTGTATGATTTCGCCATCGAAGATAAGCATGACATATTCGAAAACATGTTCCGTACACATATGGTGCACGTACCAAGTCTTCCGCCTGACGAGCAGGGTGACACAGCCCGCGAATCTTCCATTGGTCTGATCTCAACATGCCAGCAGTTGCGTACGGAGTTTCGGCCGCTGTTCTATAAGGCTTGGGATGCCTTCATCGACTTCTCCAATCTTCTTCGCTTTCTCGATACATTCGCACCAAACAACACTTTCTTCCCACCACTAGCTCACGTTACGGTGCATCTGAAAGAAGAAGACTGGGATATACAGGAATGGAATTTGCTGCCCTTACTACGTGCCATAAAGCGTATCCCGAAAACTACTTGGGCTTTCGAACATGCTTCGCATCATCTGTCAGCCGTGAGCTGTATATGCGATTTTCTTGATTACCTCCGAATTCTTCACAAACTTGGGTTTCTGGATAAACTTCGGCTCGATTCATATGAGGCACTTTACTTTGTTCGTTCGGCCGAGGACCGACACGTAGATATGATGCCCGTGGATTGGCCAGCGTTATACGATGGCGAGTGGAAGATCGTGCTCCAGAATGAAGCAGGCATTTTGACTATTAGTGAGAAGGAGCAGGTCGTTGGACATTGCAAAGTCCTTTCGGGCTTATTGTTGTGCGATCTGGAAATTGGAGAAGCCAGACAAGGGCTAAGTGTAGTTAATGTACAGGTGTGCGCGACGATAGGAACAGCCAGCTCCACATACGTACTGGAAGCTGGAGGAGGAGCTTTGATCGAAGTCGCTCAAGAGGTTTCTACACAAGAGACTCCAGCGTGGACAAGCGGTTAAGGGTGCGGTGTTGCACGTCATTAAGTCATCTCCCTTTGTCTTGCGGTGGATTAAGAATCTTCTTTGGGGATAAGTAATATATAATAAATGAAAGCTTACAATAGTCTATGGAAGTAGTGGTAGATGTTCAATAGCGAAACGTTTTGTTTGATCTTTCTTCGCTATACGGCGGTGTGTATAAATTAATAAGGTAACGGTAGTGCCGCTGCTGTACGCGCCCATAGCTGCTTTCTCTGCTATTCCGACAAACCGAACACCGGTGTCGGAGTACGAGCCGCGCCCATGTGGATAACTCTAATTGTAGTAGTTGATCGCGTATCACAGGATAAATATTGACGCGACAAGTGACGATGAATCGACGTACATGCTTGCGGGCAGGAGCTACGCGCTTTGACCCAGATAATAGTACATGTTGTGCCTTCATCGTTCTCACCGTATATAGTCATGCTTGACTGCATCTCTCTCTCGTTATTTCATCGGATCAGAAACGAGTGACAGCTGTGAGGGAGTGTCAGAATCGCGGTGAGCAGAATCTCCCATGCCGTCCATGTGTTGTGTTCCGTGGTTCGGACCGGGGCTGACGGCGATGACATCACGCTAAGACATTTTCGACAGCCGCACTCGCGGGGAATGCTTGACTTCCCCACATTTTATCAGCAGCTGCACGTTTCTGATACGCCGTTTGCTGATGCCGAAGAACGACTTGGGTACTTTTGGGAACATTGCCAAGGATGACGATGCGCGTTCGTCGTGCTCTGGCCAGCCACGTACGTGTGCGAACCGGTCAACGTACCCGAGCTACTCGGTGAATGGCAGGTTTCCTTGCGTACTAGGCTCGTAGGGCCGAGTACTTAAGTAGACAGTACCGTTTACCCATGCATCGGTTCAGCTTCATCACTTTCTTTGCTGACAAGAGCTGATCCTCAACCATGGTGTCAATGCGTTCATTGGCTGCTGCTCTCATTACCAGCGCGCCATTGGCGAACGCGCTGTTCATCAATGGCAGCATAATCGCACCCTGCGACTCTCCTATCTACTGCTACGGCGACCTACTTCGCGAGATCGAACTCGCGAGGCCGTTTGCGGATTCGAAGACGTTTGTTGACTTGTAAGTACTGTAGATAAGAAGTCGAATTGGATCACGGCTCATTGATGGCAGGCCAACAACGCGCCCACTCGACGAAGTCCTGGCAGCATTCGCCAATCTCTCAAGGCCAATCCAGAACAACACCGCGCTGAACGATTTTCTCTCCGAATACTTTGGCGAAGCCGGCTCAGAGCTCGAAGAGGTACCCACCGATGAGCTGGAAACTCAGCCAGACTTCCTCGAGAACGTAAACAGCTCTGTCGTTCGAGACTTCACTCGTCAGGTCATCGACATCTGGCCGGACTTGACGCGCCGTTATGTCGGGGCTGGGAATTGCTCCGAATGCGTCAACTCTTTCCTTCCTGTCAACCGTACCTTTGTAGTAGCTGGTGGTCGGTTTAGAGAACCATACTACTGGGACTCATTCTGGATTATCGAAGGTCTACTCCGTACCCAGGGATCCTTTACTCAGATTGCGGAGAACATCATCGAAAACTTCCTGGATCTTGTCGAAGACATTGGTTTCGTACCCAATGGCGCCCGGCGATACTACGAGAATCGATCACAGCCACCGCTACTTACCCAGATGGTTCGGGTCTACGTCGAATACACCCAGAACTATACTCTTCTTGAACGAGCGCTACCTATTCTGGAGAAAGAGTATGACTTCTGGGTGAACAACCGTACTGTAACGCTCGAGCGCGCCGGTATGAACTACTCTCTGAACCACTATGCTGTGTCTAACACCCAGCCACGACCTGAGTCTTACTACGAGGATTACGTGACTGCGAACAATGCGACCTATTTCAACGAAGAGGGCGAAGAGTTCAACGTAACAAAGTCGCTCAATGAGACTGAAATGGCGACACTATACTCTAATCTGGCCTCGGGCGCAGAGAGTGGATGGGATTATTCGGCACGCTGGATAGCCAACCCATCTGACGCCGTCACGGATACGTTCTTCCCTCTTCGCTCGCTCAACACTATTGAGATTATTCCAGTGGAGCTCAACTCGATTCTTTACTACAACGAGATCACCATTGCTGAGTTCCATCGCCACCAGGGCAACTACACTGCTGCGCGCGAGTGGGCCAATAAGGCAGCAGACCGTAGCGAGGCGATGACTACATTCCTTTGGTCACCTGAGCACTACAGCTATTTCGACTATAATTTGACATCGAGCAGTCAGAACGTATACACCCTGGCCGATAATACGAGCACGCCCCTATCACTTCAAGGTGCGCCGGCTGGAAAACAGATATGGTTCCACATCTCTCAGTTCTATCCTTTCTGGACAGGCGCTGCTCCTGAAAGTATCAAGAACGACCCCAAGGCAATGAGGCGCGTATACGGACGCGTTGAAGAGCTTCTCGAGTCTCGAGACGGCGCGATTGCGGCGACGAACCTTCAGACTGGTCAGCAGTGGGATGAACCAAACGTTTGGCCACCGCTACAATACATCCTCATGCAAGGCTTGCTCAACACCCCTCTCGAGGTCAGCGAGGAAGATGACGAGCAATCAACAGAAGATTACGTTTGGACGCAAGACCTATCACTTCGCCTCGCACAGCGCTATCTTGACTCGTTGTACTGCACATGGCGTGTCACTGGTGGCGCGACTGACGAAGTGCCGCAACTTCCCGACTCTCAAGGCAATGGAACGATCTTCGAGAAGTATGCCGACGAGAGCACCAATGCTGCCGGTGGAGGTGGAGAGTATGAGGTCGTGGAAGGTTTCGGGTGGTCGAACGGTGTTCTCATCTGGGCCGCGGATCAGTTTGGCCAAAGCTTAACAACACCCGAGTGCGGAAATATTACTGCTGCTAATATTGGTGGCGGTGATGCGAAGAGGAAGAGGAGTGCAGTGGAACTGAGCAAGAGGGATGCCAAGTGGATCAAGAAGACTAGAGGAACAAGGAAGTTGAGGTATTGATGTTGAGGTCTGCGTATACTTAGTGGCAGAGAGTTTCGTCCATCACGGCTATCATTAATGTCAATTCATAATACTTGTCTAATGTCATCCCACGTTCAGATGTCTGTCTCATTCTTTTTGTTCTCGGGTGTACAACTCAGCTGCAGATTCGACGGACATGGACAACCCCCACATCGATTCGTCCTGGGTAACAATACTTCAAAGCCACCTGCTATTGTAGAAACCGTCCCTCATTTGGATGTCATCAGCAACGGTGCCATGCTTGTTACTCAACTCACGTTTACGGCTAAACAGATCGATGGATGAGGTGCTTGCTTTTTCTTTGGTTAATTTGCCGGTTGATGTCCTTATCGTCGCCTCCAGCGTGAAGATGCCACTTTCTTGGATGTTTGTGGCTGCGAGATATCTTACGATGTCTGACTGTTACTCATCTACCACCACCCGTCCTACCACCCGCCATATCGCGCCACAATATAGTACACTCTTGGCATTCTTGCTATTGCTTACCAGCATCCACATCCACGCGTTTTCCAATCCGGACTGGTCACCAAGCGATAAGTCGCCCGTACGTTGAATAAGAGTTCTTGCATTGACAGCATCGAGATAATTTATTGCTGCCTGTCAAGAAATAAATATGCTTTGCTACTGAATTAATCGCAGAGTCGTTGATGTGCGCGAAAACAGCAGCGTGTAAAGGAGTTCGCCGGTTCCTCCCGCGCCGACTGAAGTACAAGACCGTTCCAGGTTAAAGACCCGAAGCTACAGGAAACGCGCAGCTTGGACCGGCAACCTCACTGACTGCCAAGCACGCCATCTCGATATGTACATCATGTCGCGAGGGGTTATCGGTAGCGATTGGAGAGATCCAAGAGCCAATGATGATCTGCACGGGATATGGGTGGCAAGTGGAGACCGCTGTGTTCGTGCGGACGCTAGCAAATGGCTTGCTATCCCTGACGGGCTTCCAACATTCTTGTCCTCTCGAGCCGAGGCCCAAATCCTTTCCAGATCTTCCAAACGGAAAGAACTGCAGCTGCTCTAACAATGAGATCGTGATACCGACCAGCCTTCCACATACCCGAGCCGTCCAGCCTAGGCTGACTTCCTTGGGCACCTACCCTGATCCGCTAGACGACTGTTCCTCGTGCTTGTCTTTGCACCCACACGACAGCTTTAGGGTGACCGCCCATGGAGCCTCTAACCCCTTCGCTTTCTACACTCTTAGTTCTGAGATCGCTCTTGGTATCCGCACGTCATTCGGATGACATGGCCGCGGAGCGTTCCTTATTGTGAAAAGAGAAATAGTACCTGCGGCTGTAAGGCACTGACTCGTAGATGGACCCGCAACTATAGCCTAACACTCTGCAGCCACTGCCAAATGCGTGCCTTCGGGAAAGGTCATACGTGGGGGGATGCATGTGGAGATATGGGAACGGTAGAGCGCGAACTCACTAATCCAATAACCATCAATGCTGCGTTGTTACTTCCGAGGATGCCATGGCTTAGTGAAGGCTGATCGATGGCCGAATATCCGCGCCCATCTTCAGGAAGGAGATAAATATGTGGAAGGGGTCCGCTCTTCCGAACAGCACGCTCGCATCTTAGCACCACAACCCATTGACTCCTTCCTCTTTCCCAAGTGCCCCAGTCTCAACAAGACCTCAACATGAAGTACTTCACGCTATCAATGATGACTGCCTTAGCGGCGGCTTCGCCCATTTCCTCGGCAGCTCAATTCTCAGAGAACGAGATACAGGCGCGTCAGTTCGGTTTCGGCACAACAACTCGGAATGAACTCGAGGATGGCCGAGCTGGGGCTTGTCCAGAGGCAATCTTCATTTTTGCCAGGGCTTCCACTGAGAGTGGCAACATGGTATGTCAGATACCGCATGCCACTGAGGGCGCGTAACACTAACACTTTGACAGGGTGCTTCTACAGGCCCTGCAGTAGCCAGTGCTCTTGAGCGCAACTATGGTGCCAGCAATGTGTGGGTCCAAGGTGTTGGCGGTCCATACTCGGCTGATTTAGGCTCGAACGCACTGCCCGGCGGCACTTCCCAGGCTGCGATTAATGAAGCTGTGGGCCTGTTTGAACAAGCGAATCAGAAATGTCCTGACACTCCCATCGTTGCTGGCGGCTACAGGTACGTGCTTGTTCATTACGCCTTCCCAACTTAAGGACATGTCTAACACCTCAACAGTCAGGGTACCGCCGTGATCGCAGGTGCCATTCCCAAGCTCTCTACTACCATTCGCGATCAGGTCAAGGGTATCGTGCTCTTCGGCTACACGCGAAATCTCCAGAACCGTGGTGGCATCTCTGACTACCCTAGCGAAGACCTGGAGGTATACTGTGCTACCGGTGATCTTGTATGCGTCGGTACGCTTACTATCACTGCCGCTCACTTCTCTTACTCGGATGAGGCCGCTGGACCTGCCCCAAGGTTCTTGATCGGCAAGATTGATGCGAACTGAGACAATCGTGAGGCGAAACTAGAGGCGTTGAATGGGCGCGTTCCTATTGATCTTTAACGAAGTTTTCGGTTAATAGTTGATATATGAAGCATTTCATGATATTTTCAAGTTTTGTTACGCATCCGCGAGACGAGACCCTAGATAGGTGCAAATGGTAAGCTGAGCGAAGGAGGAAGCGGCAATTGCGGAGCGGAAGATCGCCAAGAATGAGGCCCACCTAATGTTACGATACTGGCTCGTGATTGGTAATTGTACCTAAGGCTTATCGATAATGATGCTCGCACTCGCCCTGAACCTCCAGCATCAGGACACTACCCCAACGACATACCTTTCGGTCACGAGAATATTTATGTCGCTGTTGCGTTAAGATAATTGTGATTAGCGACAAGATGAAGCAACACTTTCCAGGCTCTAGCAGCTACAGTACAGTAGCGAGCCACTGCCGATTGAAGACTGCTATTACCGCAAACCTTGGAAGCATTCGCACGGCCACACACTACAGTCAGAGCCGAGAACCCTCGATGAATAGTGGATCTGTGTTTCGATGCTGCTGGTGTTTCTTTCGAGGGGTATTTGAGTAATCGAAGCGAAGACGTTGCTGCGATGACGATGACCTGGGAAAAGATGGTATTTGCCGAAGACTATCCTTTACTGCGACTGTAAGATTACACCGCCTGGTCGTTTGACAGAAGTCGACATTCACTCGATGTCTCACAATTTCAGGCTGCCTAGGTACCCACTGCCACTAGTGTCGGACCTTAACTTCCACCACGTTACTAAATCCTGGCCTTGAATCCCTTCTGCTGGCCCAATCTTTTACCATTGCAGTCTTTCGCATTCAGCGGTCGTCAGATCCTCGATTCTTCCTTCTATTGTATGAACTCCGATTTACATAAAACGACCTCCATCCACGTAGTTCAATTCGTTGTTGCAAAAACGCGAGATCACGAACGCTCTCAGCCATGCTTCTCCTCGGGCTACCCTCTGAAATGCTCAACAGTATCTTGGAACATTATTCTGAAGCTGCTCTTCTAGATGAAGTTTTTCGTACGCGTCTCGTCTGCAGTAAGTCTCCAAAGTGCCAGTATCGTCTATCACAACTAATGATACTAGGGTCTTTTGCCGCGGTCTTGAACCACCAGTTGCTCGCCAAGACTCCAATCAAGAAGTATCTAGCTTTTATGGAATTGGCCGGCTTGCAGCTTCATCAAGCGAAGTCTCCGTTTCAGTTCGTGGTCGATCATGCAGAGACCTACCTATTCAACCGCATTCGGAGTCAAGATGGCTACTTGGACATTTTCCCAGCATTCATCAACAAGCTCGTTGATGTTCTTATGCGCTTCAATCTACCTGACGACAACGTCATTGAGCTTCGGGAACAGTACATCTTGGATCTCGTCCGAGCCGTCGTAGCCACTACCCCGCGTGACCGACTCAGACAAGGTCTTGCCATTTGGCTCAAGAAAGATCTAGTAGCGGCTTATCCCCGGATTGTCGACCCATAAATTCCCCTTTCGGACGCTCTAGCTGGGGCAGCAGCAGTCGGCAACTTCAAAGCCGTCGCACACTTCTTGAACCACACCACGGACTTCCTCGAACAGCACTTCGGCTATCACGTTGATCATCTCCCTAGCGTACTTGAAGCCGCAGCTAGCACAGGCAAGAGTGTAATGATTGAGTATCTGCTTGCCAAAGTGAAGATGGGTTTGGAGACGGACAACAAAAGCTGCAAGCATTACGCCCCTGTCCACGATTACTCCAATACCACAACCGAGTGTAAGTGTGAAGACAAATTCTATGTCATCATAGAAGCCATCAAGGCAGCCATGAGGCGGTGTCACCTGCGAGCAGCAAACAAGTTGATCGAATTCTTACGAACACGCTTCGTTCGTCTCGCGCAACAAGATCGACCTGATTTCCTCCGCCTTGCTATAGAGAGCCAAAACTTGAACTGCATCAAGCACTTTCTCAAGGAAGACCAGCGCCCGAAGCACATGCTCAAGATGGACCCGGAAGTTCTCGCCGCATATCACGAGATTCTCCGCGATGGCGATATCGAAATCATACGCTTTCTCCTGGAACAGGGTATCGTGAGTGTCGCAGAAGCTCTTATGGGCACCGATGTCTGGCTGCCTCGATTTGATCCTCTAGACATTGCAATCCAACGCAATCATCAAGAAGTGGTAAAGATCTTGCTCAAGTTCGGAGCTATTCCTGACGTATACCATGTACTCCAAGTACTCAATACTGGTATAACGTCCTTTCCGCACGCTTCCATGTTCCCGCTTCTGCATTCTCTTATTGACAATCATCATCTCTCCACAAGCCAACTTCAGGGGGGTGCCAGCGATACTAAGCCTTTGTGGATGCAAGAACTGAATATAAGCCGTTCGGGTTTTAAAGAGCAAGATCCCGGCTGTCTCGAGCTATTGCATGGTCGTTGGCGTTGGGTGGACTGTGACCACAAGACGGAGTGGATCGACGCTTCTATGATGGTTAAGTGCGATCATATTGCGCAACGACTATTTGTACCTGGACGGGTGTCTCATATCGACGCATACAAGTCTATCGTACTCGTTACTCGGGAGATTGTTCGGTCTCGACAATACAAAGGGGGTATTGGACTACCGCCGCTGCCCTCGTTGCTGGCTGCTCTGGGGAAGATAGCTACTGATCAGATTGCTCTGGGGGACAGCAACATCGAATGGAGAAAGGAGGCGTGGGAGGCTCTACGGTGGTTCGATGGATTATCGCTGTTAGCTTGCAGACCTGCGGTGGGTTACTCGACGTTGACATTGAGCAAGGTTCAAGAACTACAGAGGCAGCAAACGATGCAGTACATGTTGATGGCTGCTCGAAGCCAGGGAAGGTGGTAGCATGCGTCCGTGTTACTTGGACGGACAACTATATGTATATATATACGTGTGTTCACCTTGCATTGGTCTAAACCGCTACCCAAACTTCGGCTTTGCTGAGCTCCAACATGACCCAACACTCGTTGATCACCCTTTACCACCTCTTCTGTCTGCTGTGACGATTTGTACGTAAATACTGGATCAGATGGCTTAATTTCACCATGGACGCAGATTTGTACTTGTCATTTAAATCTTCACACTTGCATACGTATGCACTTCGATGCCGCTCGTACGCCAATTTCTGTTTCCTGCGATAATATCACATGTGCATCGTAGATGCCCTGGGGTATACCAATCCCCACGAGGTTAAGTAGGCTTCCCTTCACATGCGAATTTGGTAGTGCTGTACCTATTTTAATGTGGGGTCTGAATAGATCTTACATGCAGCGCCAACTGTCCAGTAGACCTTATTCCTTCTGTTTTGCCACTTGGAAGCCTGGTACGAGGTGTGGCACTCTTGATGTGTTGTCCGCTGGGTCATGCAGGTGGTGGCTGAGCCGATCGCGATTTGACGGCCGAACATAAGCTTTGGGTTGGCCTTCATAAAACGATCTCAGGCTGTGTGGATACTATGACGACAGCTGACTGCAGACAGTCTCATATAGTTGTATCGTCCGACCAGGGTGACACGAACACGGCCGCCTACAACGAGTCCTTTGGAGCCTCCGGGCTGACGATGGCTCGCAAGGAAGCCTTTGGGTAATAGTGTGCAGCGAAGCCATCGGCGTACCGATTTTTTGCCTGCAGCATGATTATTGAACCTGAAATACACGCAAAGGAATAAGTTGTTGTTGCTGCAAGGTGCAGCCACGCAGCGTCAGGCTGAAAGCCACTACCACGCTAGATCTCACGCTAGGCAAATCCGGCCGCGATGGTCACTAGCGGTAATGGCCCAGTGACCCGGTTGATGGTGTACCACCTCAATGTCTTATCGATCTGCATTTTAACAAATCCTTCAACGATAACCGTAGAAGTCCCGGACGCCCAGGTGTGTGCAAATCTGACGACTAGCTGAACACTGGAAGCCGCGCTGAGTTGATGATCGACACGAAAGTATGACAAAGAAAACGTTTTCTTCAATGGCAGTCCGCCATATGCGGTGTTTAGTGTGGCTTTAAAAGGGATAGCAGAAGTAGTACCATAACGCATGAGAGGCGGTTCATTGCGACGAGCTCGTTTTAAAAGACAAAGAAATTAGATTTGTGGAATAGGATCGGAACCAGGTAGGAGCGATCAGCGAATTAATTCCCCATTCACCACAATACAGCTCAACAGGAAAGGCGTTGGAAACCGTCGTTGCTCCACCTCTGTTTAGAAAAGTCCGGAAATTTCGGCAGATCTAGCACCAGAAATTCTGCTTCGGAGAAGTTGGCATACACGTTTTCCTTCTCCATGATTTGTGCGTCTTGCCATGTCGCGAAAACAGCATCCCAGTACCGTCTCGGCTCTTCTTTCGCATGTCCGACATGCCCACTTTTCTCGAACAGCACTTCAGTGACAGGCATACCAGCGCATGCTGACTCTTCCAGATGCTCGTAGACATCTTGCCAAGCGATAAGCGTATCGCTTTTTGAGTAAAGATAGCAACGTGGTGCTGTGGGGTCGAAATAGATAGGATCATTGATACGCTTTCGAGTTCGACTGATGACGTTGTTCTCGTATCCTTTGATACCGGTGTACAAAATCCATATGCAGCCCAGCACTACACTGACGAATAGTATAGCAATGTGACGCACAACCGGTATCTGAGGTAGCGATTTGTTGAGGGCCTCGCATAAGCGTAGATAGCGTGGGTGGCCTGGTGTGCTGTCTAAACACAAGGCTGAGACCAGAAGCCGTGTCTCGGTGAACCTGTAGTGAGCCTCTGCTAACTCGCAGGCTTTGTTGCTTCCTCCTTCAGAGAAAACGTGGAGCAGTATTCCACTATTGAACTTTTGGGCAGCCAGGTACCGGTAGCTGGAGATGTGTTCGATGGCGGGTCTCATGCGCCACTGTTTGCGTGAGGAGTTTCTGAAGCAGAGATCTTTCGCGGAGGTTGTGATAACCATGATACGCGATGAAGGGAAAAGAGTTCTGTATTCTGCTGTGTACTTGGCGATGTAACGGTTCTGGGCTCCTGTCCATGTGCATAGCAGAATAAGTGACGGTGCCACACCATTTTGCGATGAGAAAGGTGTAGCACGAAATGATAGTTGCGGATCATAAACCCATATGGAGGGAGCGATGAGCTCAAAGTCAGGGATCGTATCGTTGGTAGTCTTGTGGTTTGGCATGATAGTCATCGAAGAGGTGGTTCCCGATGCGGAGATAAAGAAGTCCAAAGAGGCTGGTGACGATAGTGAGGCGGTTCTGGATACAACGCCACCTTCTTTGGTTGTTGATATGTCCAATGTAAAGAGATTGAAAGACTCTGTGTATTGTCACTGTGGCAAGAATTCTGAACAAAGCAAGGAGATGAGAACTTGCGGGATCCAGCATAAACACATCGGGATGCCGGAAGCCAACCGATACGCAATCAGAGACTTGTTGATGTCAATTGCGTATGCGTAGGGCGCTGGAGGTCGGGCGGAAATTTCCATAGGATTGATCGACCTTGCAGTGGACTTTCTTTAGCTCGCTTCATGTTTCCTATTCGGTTACTAGTCAGCGAGAGGGTACGGCGGCCGACCATGGTCTGAAAGGAGAAAGGCTGTGCACGTTCTGTTCTGCAAAACATACTGAAGCGCACACGGGTCTTGTTCCGGTGCCGTTATTCAGTTGGGACGGTTCTCAATAGCAAAAAGCCCCTAGGCGAGGATCTCGGAAACGCTTGGTGTCCGTGAGGCTTATGCGCCCCTTCGAGTACGGCCCCCCCACATTCTTTTGGCAGACCAGCCACATTTTGGACTGTGCAACACCGCGGGAGTGCAGTGGTAGATGCGCTTCCCCGCTGCGCGAAGTCAAGGCCAACACTAGTTGCCGTGCTGACAATGAGCGACATGATTCGTCGACCTGGTACAAGGCTTGGCTGAGGCTACTATCTGACAGCATAGAAGTGGGTGCCAGATAGCCCCAGACACATTTGCTGCGCCTTGGGTCCTTCAAGTTGCCTTAGTGTGCGATTCTACGAAGTCGGGCCTCGACTGGCTAAGAGCACGTGTCAACGTAGAAGCCGGATCGCGCTGGCCGTTTGCAGCGATCATCAAAACAACCACCCGTGTCAAGATATGCCACGACTGCTACCCTAAGGGGACCAAGTTCTTTTTTTCTCGTAGGTTTGGGAGAGCTCGTTCAGACATGCGGTCGGCCTGGGCGCGAAGGCAAAACAACGACATCGTGAATTAGTGCCACAATGTTCAATGCCTACGACGCAATCACAATCCGGGAGCTGCATATGTGTTTAGGTGAGCCTCGACCATAGAAGCGGGCGCTCGCTGTAAACCAATCTCTCAACTAGAGTTCGACCTCTGAAGCTAGATCGACACCGGTCTTTACTGCCCAATCGACTCCGAGGCCACCATATCACTCACTCTGTCTCCAAGAGAAGTGATCTTTTGCCCAATCCTCGTTCCTCCTATTTCGCCCCCAATGGCGGCCGGTAGTCATCCGAACGAGACGACCTTTGACAAGTGGGACTCTTCCTGCAGTACGCCCACCGATGAATACAGTGAGCCTGGTGGTGCGTGGAAACACGACCACATCAGGCTTAACACAGGTAAGCATATCGCAGAGCAGGGCTGTACATCCGAACTCTTATATCACCGTACAGTAGTGTGCATGGCGCTTCGTAGTGCTATGGTGTCGATGGCTGAGTCCACAGCCCATAAAGTTCGCTTGTGTCCAATGCTGGGGGACTCGGGCACACCTCAGCGAGAGTTCAGGCTTCTGAAGATTTTCCACTGACTGTTTTAGAACCAAATGATTGGCCAGAATTTTCGAAAGACATTACAGCCTCGTCTGCCAAAGATCCAGTATCTGCCCACTCGCTGTGGATGACCGACAATATGTCCTTGGAGAACTTTGGAAGGAGAGGCGAGACTCAGATGCCCGATGTATGGAAGCCACAAAAGAAGGAGCTGGTAATCATGATCAGTCTAAGCTTCATATCATTGATGGTGGCGCTGGATGCCACAATCCTAGTCACGGTACTACCGGTCAGTCATCCTCTTGCTCAGTGCCGCAAGGAATTTCTGATATACTCCACAGGTAATAGCACAAAAGCTTGATGGTACTTCGGCTGAAGCGTTCTGGACGGGAACATCGTACCTTCTCACCTCTGCCATCTTCCAGCCGGTCATCGCATCGATATCCGCTGTCTTCGGCCGGCAACAGCTCCTCATCACCTCGCTCCTCTTCTTCACAGTCGGTAAGTCTGAATGCCATTCTGTGTCGTGGATGGTCGCTAACCATGCCTCTACAATCCAGGTACGATACTATGCTCGGTCGCAGACAATTTCACTGAGCTGCTCGGAGGAAGATGCATCCAAGGAATTGGTGGTGGTGGGATTATAACGTTAACACAAGTCATCTTTTGCGACATCGTGCCGCTGAGACAACGCCCGAAATACTTCGCGATGGTTCTCGGATGCTGGAGCATAGGGTCCATCATCGGACCCGTAGTTGGTGGTAAGCTTGTGGAAAGCGCATCCTGGCGATGGGCATTCCACATCAACTATCCATTCTGCGCTATCGGCTTCGCTGTTGCGATCTTGTTCGTGCGCCTTGACGCGGTGGCGAAACTCACATTCCAGGAGAAGCTCAAGCGGGTGGATTGGCTGGGCGCAGTACTCTTCATTGGCAGCATGACGAGCTTGTTGATTGGAATCTCTTGGGGCGGCATCCAGCATCCCTGGGACTCAGTTGCGACTCTTGCACCTATCATCGCGGGGATGACAGGAATCGTTGCGTTCTTCCTGTGGCAATGGTACAGAAAAGAGCACACCCTATTGCCTTTGGCAGTGTTCGGAAGCTGGAGCGCAATCGCCGCTTTTTACAACGCGCTGATAAATGGCCTACTAGTAAGTTCCCATCCAGTCATCACCCAGATAAAAGCTCACATATCAAGCTCTTCACGACCTTGTACTATTGGCCATTCTACGATATGAGTGTTCGCGGGAGATATCCTACCCAGGCGGGTATTGACATGCTGCCGGTCGTCCTCCTCACGGTTCCCAGTTCAGTCATTGTCTCGATATTGACGACGCGTCTTGGACGCTTCCGATGGGCAATTTGGGGTGGCTGGATGGTTACGACACTTGCGTGCGGATTGCAGGTTATGCTCGACGTAGATTCAACAACTGTTGTCACGTCAGCGCTTCTTGCCGTGTTAGGAATTGGCATGGGCATGGTACTGACAAGTCTCAATGTCGGCATTCAGGCTATTTCCAAGCCAGAAGACGCGGCAATGGCCGCGAGCATGTATGGCTTTCTCCGAAGCCTGGGTATGCCCATCGGTGTTGCCGTAAGTTGAGCCTTCATCCGATCTCCTTTCCTAGTGCTGACTCCTTCAAGCTCGCAGGGTCGGTCTTCTCCAACTCCATGTCCGACAAGCTTTCAGAGCTAGGCCTGCCCACGTCGATCGCTCATGACTCCGAGCAATACATCTTCGTCTTGCGCAAAATGGCGGACTCCCCGCAGAAAAGTGCCATTCTTTCTTCGTACATGAGAGGGTTCGATTCGGTCTTCGTCATGGTCACAGGTCTCTCAGCTACTGCGCTCATTGTCAGCTTTATGATCAGAAAGTTCAGCATGGACAAAATACTGGTTGCGCAATTCTCCGCGAAGTGAGTCGCGTTTGCCTAGGCGGACACGCGATTCTCCCGGGATTGGACGAGCTTCGTCTTTTCATGTACATACACAGTGGGGTATTCAGACGAAACCATCAGAAGACTGGTTGACAAAGGTTGACGCGTACGCTCCCAGAATGGAGCTCGTGTGTTGTGGTTGGGTCGACGATGCAGCGCGGTGTCCAGCGCGTCATCTGAGGGGCTAGGCCCACGTAATCGCGCTGCCTCAGGAACGCGCCATTGCGGCGTAACAGTTCCTCGGCATGCATCACTACCACTACAACCAACACCACTGTTTTAAACACGTCTGCGAAATACATGTGCAAAAGAAAAGGGCACCCTCTATCAGGATAATGCTAATCAGACGCGTGTTGCGACATGCACTGTCCCTTTCTTTACCCTGCCAACAGATTTGACACTTGTGAAGCCGACGAGCTTCGCAAGCGAGAGAAAATGCAGCATGGTACGTCCATAGGGTCAAACACGAAGATGACATGCCAATGTGCTAAGCTTTGCAGCCAAGAGATCCGGATCAGCACTTCAGAAAGCTCATCGACATTCTTTTATTCACTATGATACGGAAACGACTGTAAAGTTACCGAGTCCATCGAACGAATCGCACTGAGACTCTTGGACCCTGGAAAATACTCTATGGGGTCTAGCAATAGTCTCCAATGTTGTAACTGGGGAAGACGTGACTGGTTCGGCAGGCCGGGCTGGCACCTTTGACGTACAGTTTGGTCGCTGATATCTCATGTCAGCCTCTTCCCAGAGCCTCGTTATGGCTCGCGACTTACTGTCCACTGGGAGATTCTGGCTCGGCTGTCTCACGATAGTCTGGCTCCTCTCTGCTGGCGTAAGATCGTTCTCACACTGGATTTGTTCCTGGCCACCATTCACAGTAGTACTGCCAGTCCAGAGATCGATGTGGTTGATGCGCGGGCTAGCTTTCCAGTCCGTGTCGCACTGAGCGCAGAAGTCCTCGAAGCGCAAGTACTTTTTCGTGTACGGATCGTATATGATCTCACACTGGTTGAACTCGCCAGGGGCAGAGGCAAAGGTCAGGGGGTCGGCATAGGTGCCCGTACCGCCAGCCTGGAAACCACGGCCGCAGTCGTAGGCAGTCGCCGGACCTGGAGGGTCATTATCGGGGTACCTGGCCACTGTTAGTCTGAAATACTTAGCCAGGGTTTTCGCCTATTGACATGCCCGTAGTAAGTATGGGTGACCTTGGTCACTTTGGTGCAGCCAAAAGCCGCAAGGCTAAAGGACGATAGTGCAACGAGTACTGAAGCGCGCATGATGATGGCTAGGCTTGATATGATTCTTTCCGTGAGCCTTGGATTGATCTGAGAACTTTCTCGAGCTGATCGGATAGACTTTATACTCCTCCCCACACCAAATGTCGGTGGAGACCTGATGAAGAGGCTGTATAGCCATTACTCCCATCGACATTAGTTCTGACAACAAAATTCCATTTTTGGACAAGGCTCTGCATCTAATGAGGGCGCATTTGC